GAGTCATAGTTAAAATGGAACCAAATCTCTTTGAATGCTCTTTGATGGAAGGGGAACTATGAATCCACACAACTGCAACTCCCAAATGCCAGGGTTTATTTTCCCTAAACCCCTCCAGTATTTTCTGTTGATCATGGGAGTACTGTATGCCACGTTTGGTTCAATTCCATTGCTGGTGAAATTCAGAATGCTCTTTGATCGAAGGGGAACTGTAAATCCACACAACTGCAACTCCCAAATATCAAGGCCTGATTTCCCCAAGCCCCTCCAGTATTTTCTGTTGGTCATGGAAGGAAGCAGGGTTCATTTTTGTTTTCAGTTTTAGGCTGGATCTACACTGCCCTGTATCCTAGGATCTGTTCCCATTGCCAAATAATCTACATTGCCAAATAATGCGTTATATGGTCAATGTAGACCAGGCATGGGCAAACTTCGGCCCTCCAGGTGTTTTGGACTTTTAAACCGGATACAAGTCTCCAGTATATGAGTCTCCTCTGTTCTAAATCGGAGTATATGAGTCTCCAGTTGTTATATCGGAGTATATGAGTCTCCAGTTTTAAACCAGAGTATATCAGTCTCCACTGTTTTAAACTGGAGTATATGAGTCTCCACTGCTTTAAACCGGAGTATATGAGTCTCCACTGTTTTAAACTGGAGTTTATGCGTCTCCACTGCCAGATAATCTAGGATCAAATTCTGGGAAATAGGGACCATATAAAATGTATGCTGCCATATTAAATCCAGATTATCTGCTTTGCACCGGATTATATAGCAATGTAGATACTAGGCCTGTTTGATCAAGAAAAAATTTGTTTCTAAAATGGATTTGTAATTGGGGTGTTTTTTTGTTTCGATATTTAAAATAATTACAAAACTTTCCCCCAAAAAAGTTTTGGTATTTACGAAATTTTGTAAATATTAACGAATTTTTAGAATATTTTTTGTATTTTTTAAGAATAATATTAAAATAATATTAAAAAAAATTTAAAATGGAAAATTAACCAAAAAATGGCCCAAATGTGGACCAAACACAGGCAGGAGACAGCAAATGAGAGCACACACCAACAGAAGAGTCTTTTCTTTTTTAGAATATTTTTTAAGAATAATATTAAATAATATTAAAAAATAATATTAAAATAATATTAAAAAATATTTTAAAATGGAAAATTAACCAAAAAATGGCCCAAATGTGGACCAAACACAGGCAGGAGACAGCAAATGAAGCAAGCAGCACTCACAGCAGCAAGGAATGAATCCAATCCAGTTGCTAGCCATTAGCCAAGCCAAACCAATGCAAACTCCCTCGCCCTCTGCAGCAATGAGCTACGGCCGCGCGGAGCCGCTTTGAAAGGGCTCGCCGGCCAATCAAAAACAAACAGCCACGGACCCACGGTGCACTGCTTGGGAGCACCGGATTGGCTCCCAGGCACCAGCACTCCAGCAGCCTCCACCCCATTAACGAAACGAGCGGAAGCTCGTTAAATCTATGGGGGTTGCTGGTTCGATATTTTAAAACCCTTCCGGGTTTGGAAATGTGTTTTGATATCGCTTCGGAAATGCCCAAAAAAACGAATTAATAACGAATTAACGAATTAACGAACGAAACCGCACAGGCCTAGTAGATACCATTACAATATTATTTCTTCCTCTCCTCTTTCTCCCTCCAAACCGTGGAAAGATTTCAGCAAGAGTTTCAATGGAATTAAATGGGCTTCCTTCCAATTAAATCAGATTTGGGGTCTTGCCCAATGGAGGTGGAAGCTCAAGTGCTTAGGACTCTCTGCATTTGTCTTTTCACCTGAAAGGCAAATGGGCGGATTTGGAAATCCAATGGGAAGTACATTCGGGTGCATCTACATTAGTAAAAACCCTCCCCCCCACCCCCCCGCTTCCTTCCCTCCTTCCCCCTTGCCTGGTGACCACCTACTGCTTTATGGTGGCTTTGTTCGAACTATCGAGAGAAGGCTTTATTTACCGTTAATATTCACTTAAAGTGAGATGTTAATGAGGCCTCGCAATTCATCAATGAGACGGGTCCCCTCCTTTCTGTTTCCCTGTGCTCTCCCCTCCCTTCACTTTTGGGGAGAATTTGGGAAAATTTGAAGGCAAAGGGATTGAGTTTTGGGAAGGAAAGGAGCTGGTCAAGGTCTGTTGGGGACAATTGAATCCTATTTGACAAACGTGTTGGGGAATCTGAGCCGTTAGGCTCAAAATAACCCTCAGTTGGAGTGGTTCTACCATAAATATAAGTTATATTTATTCAGTGATTGGTTTTTTTGGGGGGGGGGGCGGCACCAAAATACTGTTTGCTTACACTTGAAAACTACCTAGGGCCGGCCCTGAGGAGAGTACATGGTGAGACCAGATTCATGCATGTAGCAGGAGATGCTAAGAAGGATTGTGTAACTTCAGATTGCACATTGTCTGTATTTACAGCAGTTGTTTTCCGAGTTTCCTGAATTGACAGGTAAAAAAAGTCAGTACTACCAATGAGAAAACCTGGCTAACGTGCCTCTCATGAGTCAGTGTACAAGCCCTGCTGAAATGACTGAGACAGAAAATGTAGCTACTAGCAGCAGAGGGCAGCACACACAGAAATATTACACTTAAATACATTTGATGTTAGGAAATAAAATACTATTAAGGTGAAATTTACAATGAGACCAGAGTTTTATCTGTTGGGGAAGCTGGACAACGATATAGGAGGGGAAATTGGAAGGTTATTACAATATATTGCAGCAAGAATTACATTGTGTAACAAATTTTGAAAAAAAAAGTTCTGTTTCTGGTTTGAAAGTGTTATTTCCTATTTAATTGTGTGGTACTTATTATAACAAGTTGTTGTTATACTTCAGAAACTTGTTTTTTGTGGGGGTTTTGTGGCGGAAGGTAGTACTATTATTTTCTTCAGTCTAAGCACTTTGTAATTTTCCTTACTGAAAATGCACTATTTTTAATCTTTCAATGTGCAGACCACAAAAACAAATTTTTTTGCAGTTTAATAAACGTTTTCCATGTTTTTATGATATGACCAATAAGAAAATGACATTTATAACCTAGGGACAAAAAAATGTGTTACATAGTGTCGTCTGTGCTCAGAGTTGAAAGGAACAAGATATCTCAACATGAGAAGAATTGCTGATGAAGATTTACAAAATAGCCAAGATAGATAAATTGACTATGATGATTAAGGAGAAACCTTTGACCAACTTTGAGAAAGATCAGGACTTGTTCATTATCTTTTCAAAACAATTGAGAGATTGGGTTGCTATGAGTTTTCCAGGCTGTACGGCCAGAAGCATTCTCTCCTGACGTTTCACCCACATCTATGGCAGGCATTCTTGGAGGTTGTGAGGTCTCTTGGAAACTAGGCAAGTAAGATTTATATATCTGTGGAATGTCCAGGGTGGGAAAAAGAGGCAAGTGTTAATGCTGTAATTGGCCACTTTGATTAGCATTGAATGGCCTTGCAGCTTCAAAGCTCAGAGGATTCATGAATCGGTAAAGTGCTACCAAAAATAGAAATATGACTATATAATAAACCTGTCCATCATTATATAAGTCAAAGAGTGTGTGTGTGTGTCTGTGTGTGTGTTTCTACCACAAAGACTGTTGTTTGGTGAAGAGGCCCTCTGTGATGTCACTGGATTGATTGTTGCTAGCTGAAGACCCTCTTTGATGTCACTGGGAAAGAAAGGTGACTTGTATGAGAAAAAGGGAGGAGGAAAGAAATGAAAGGAAAGGACAGGAAGGGAGAAAGTAAAAGGAGGGAAGAAAGAGAAAGAAAAGGGAAACGATTATGAGGGAGGAAAGAAAGAGAAAGAAGGGATGAAAAGTGGGATACAGCAGCCCCTCGAACACTTGGGTAACCATGTTAGTATCATTTAAATGACTAATAAGGAGTAAATAAACATCAGAAAGAGAAAGGGAAGTGTTTGGATCTGGAAATGTAGGTGTTTTTCTTGTGGTTTTGCATGTATGTGTAGATGTTTCATTTTTGTTTTTCTGTTATTTTCAACAGATGTTTAGTTGCAGCCTTGAAGTAGTTGATAGAACGTAGCTGTCTAATTTTAATGTTACATATCCAAATAAATCTCCCTTGTATGTGTGTTTTTCTTGAATAAAAGTGACTTTTTAAAAAGGGGGGACTGTTGAATTGATCATGCTTTAGTTTCTCTTTGCTTTTTTCTAATCCTAAATTTGGTTTGCTTTGAACTTTAAAAAAAACTCACATGAAAATTTGCAAATACTTATGTGTGAATTTTCCTTAATACATTTGCTTTTCTATGAAACTGTGCATAATATGCTATCTTTGCTACCAATTTTCTTAATATTACATGTTTTTAAATCATTGGTCTTTTCTATACACTTTATTCCTCTGTGTGTGTGTGTGCGCGCGTGCATGCGCATGTACACACTTGTGTTATAATGCATATTTCAAAAGATTACTTAGTTTCAGCAAGTCATGTATTCCTCTGAAAATGTGAAAAAGTAGTTTGGAAACGACATTTTCCTGCATAACCTTGTTTAGTAGGGGGACTAAAAGCTAAGTAATAGCTCCTGCATTTGTCTAAGGCGAGTAATGATGAAGCTGGAACTGATGATAGAGCACCTACAAGGCATCTTGGGTGCAGGCTAACTGTGGAGTTGGCATTTTGAGTTGTATGGAGGTTGAGCCTTTGAGGCTCAATTTGAACATATTTCTTTCAAGCTCAAGATTTGGTGGTGATTATGGCCAGGGCTGGTGTTATTGGGACCTCTAATTTCATATTTAATCCTTACTAGAAATGCCCCCGTGAAGAATAAGCATTCACAGAAACTGTTAGATTGGATGGTCCTGAGCCAAACCCATCCCTGTGTCCCTCTTCTTGTTTCCCAAGTGAATGTGCCCCTTCTCCTGGCCAAATCTGTTCCCTCTGTTGCAGCATCTCAAAAGTACTGGTAGATAACAAAAGTGAACTCCCTCCATGCCAACAAGCCAATGAAAAAGGACCTTCTCCAAATTGTAACTAGAGCGTCCAAAGTTCATCAAAGTCTTTTGAAACAGAAGCTGCATCAGCTCAGCTGTTGGAATTTTAAACAACTGGAGGAAAGGTAAGAAAGTAATGCATATGGCTGCTGAGTTTTCTTTAATCTTTAAATGGAATATACAAAAGGATATGTTTCTACTGTCAAAGTTGCCTAGCCTTGGAACCTATCAATACAACTATGTCTATTGCTCAGGATTACTTTTAAAACCGTTTTAATAGAAAACCTTTTAAATTTTCACTCTCACTCCCTCTGAGAAGAATGAATGAGACATTTAATTTAAGATCTTCCTTATTACATCCTTTGCCTGACTTACTGGGTCGGGTACTTGCACAGCAGGCTTTTCTCTCCATTCGCTATCTTCCTGGCTAAGCCCTCCTTCCCAGGCTCCTGCACACATCACGCACCCAGTCTAGGGAGCAGGGGAGTTGCAGCCAATCAGATTGAACCACTGTGGTTTGGTCTGATTGGCTGGAAGGGGCAAATCTGAGGGAAGACCTTTTCCCTCTGGTCAGCCAGCCAGGTATTTATTCCAGCCTGGCTGCTGCTCCAGCTCTGATACCTTTGAGCTCTCCTCTCTTAGTTTTTTGGGTTTTTTGCTTTTGGTTCTGCATTTGGTTATCCATCACAACTTGGGGCCAGGCTCCATGGGACCTAGATCTGCTTCCACTATCAAGAGGCAGGAGCAAGCTGCACAGGGAGTTGTTGGATGGGTGCCTATGCAGCCAGGTATTTATTCCAGCCTGGCTGGCTTGTTGTAACACCAAGAGGGTGGGGCAGTTGATTACATGGGTGTTTGTCTCACCCTCTTGGTGTCATTGGCTTAGCAGATGGGCTGACCAATGCCATGATCCAGAATTCATGTTTGGCTGCCAACATTACTTCAGCTATAACCAATAAAAATTATGTTGTGGCCTTTGCTACCCCTATTTATGTCTGGTTAGTGTTCTTTGAGTTGGCAGGGGGATTTGTCACCCTGCATTCACAAATAATCTACCCATTTCTTATAATGAACACAGTGTCATAACGTACGAGTCACAACCAATTATTCTGCCTGATAATAACATTCTGATTTTAGATTTCCCTGACTTTGAAATAGTGTGAAAGCATCCTTACTGTACATGTCAGAACTATGTACTGTATATACATATTCAGATTTATTGCTATTACAGAAATTGATGAACTTATCTAACTTCTCCAACTGACCCTTTTACACTTGTCACTCTACACCCCTTGCTTTTATCTTGTAATTCAATTTCATTTTACCAAACAGCATGGTTCCATTATCCTGCCAGAGGCCACAAGAGGGTGCAAAGGAGAGAAGGATAGTCCATTTTATGGGGGTAGAAGGTGGGTTGAAGGAGAAAAACCATTTCCTCCTGTTTTCCTGTTGTTCCCTGCACCCATGTCATCGTTGTGGAAACAACCCTCATTTATGATATGGAAAGTAGGGAGGAGGAATAACAAGTGAAAATGCAGGAAATGGTTTTCCTCCTTCAACTCCCCCCTATAAAATGGACTATCCTTCTCTCATTTCGGCTTAACCTCGAGCCATTTCGGCTCAGGAGGGGGTTTTATTTTCACATGCCTCCCAAAAACGTACGGGTTCCCAAATAGGTATTTTCAGCTCACAACCAGAAAATGTGGCTAGATCCGGCCCATTGGCGGCAATGGGGGGCTTCATGGGCTCCCCTTCTGATCATTTCCAGGGCTATTGGGATGAAAATGACCACACTTGGAGGACACATCTAACACTGCTAGCCTACTAAGTTTCATAACGTTTAGGTCATCTGATTTTTAGGAATTTTTTTTTTCTTTCTAGAAATAAAATGTCCTTAAAAAATGCCCAAAAAGGTAACCCCCTCCGGCCCCACCCTGTAATTTCTCCAGGAGCAGCAGCAGGACACCATTCCTTCCTGCCAAATGTCAAAGATGCACTTCCACATCACACAGCCCACCCACTATTAAACTTTTTTTTTACTAACAAATAAAAACTTCTTCCAAAGATTTTGCAATTTGCATTTCTTATTCTCACAACATACTGGAAGAGGCCGGCAGCCCACCATCCACAAGCAAGCAATGTCCCCTTATTTATTTATACCCCACTCTCCTCACCCCAAAGGGGACTCAGCGTGGCTTACAGATTTTGGCAAAATTCAATGCCTCATTATACATATAAATAATAAATATAACATATAAAATTATAAAACAGTTAAAACATATAAATGCAATAAAACAGATTAAAACATAGTTTCCCAAGCCCCCCCCCCCCAAACAGGGCAAACAAAAGCCTGCTAGTAAAAGTGGTTTTATGCATTATTACTATGGGGTAAGGAGATATAAGGTGCTAGTCTAGAAGACAAAAGGATTAGGGTACGGGTGCCACAATTTAAACAACAAGATCTTAAACTGCAGGAATGCTAAGGCGGAATGAGAGTGCGGCTTCAGGTCCCTCATGTGTAAGCCCCAATCTGGGCAGGACAGCAAAGCTGGATAACATATGCTCTGGCCCCAGGGTCTCTCCTGCAGCAGGGCCCAATAAAGCTCTCCCAGGCCTCTAGGTCAGACCTTTTATGTTCTCTCTTGGAGGCTGCTGGGTCAGCTGGCTGGAATGAGAGTGTGGCTGCAGGACTCCTCGTGGGTAAGCCCAGGGCCAAGCAAGACAGCAAAGCTGGATAACAAATGCTCTGGCCCCAGGGTCTCTCCTGCAGCAAGGCCCAACAAAGCTCCTATTAGATATAGGTAAGTTTAGGGAGGTAGGTAGTTTTTCTGAGAATGAGGCTTCACTGTTTCCTATAAGTATTCCTATAAGTATTAATAACAATAAACTATAAAAAGTACTACTTTGATGAAAGAGAGGGGGAAGGAGTGATAAGAGAAGAAGCTAAAGGCTTTAGTAAAGGCTAAAGGGTGACTCAAAACTCAGAGCCACCCTTTAAAAAAGCATACCCACAAATGCCACACAACACGTTCAAACTCCCAGTGCCACTAAATAAAGAATCCAGAAAATAAAAAAGATTCAATGCTAGAGAGAGGCCAAGCTGAGCCAAAAACTAAAGCTGAGGGCAAGTGGCGGCAAGGCAATTAGACTGGAGCACTTCTCTCTAGATCCAGGACGTAACTGAGCAATGGAGGCACTCCCCATTAAATAGACACAGCTTGTGTAAGACACATCACAGCTGTTTCTTCTACTCTGATTGGCTCAACAGGCAAAGTCTAACAGGGAAACAAATCCATGCACAAGTCTACTCTCTAGTTCCCCCTTGTGGTCTTCACCCAGATAATGGAACAGTGCCTATTAAATTTATTATTTTATCAAGTTTCATTGTGTTTTAATTTGTCTTAGTTAACTATTACAGGAGTTTTAGCATAGTGATTGGTGTCTCTATGTCTGTGTGGTTTTTTTGTCTTTTATTGTCAATATTATCTATTTACATGAAAGCAATATGTGTCGCAATTCAGGGTAGTTTTCACTTTGCTCAAGACACCACCACATACCAAAGCTGTAGGTTTTGTAGTTTAGTGAGAAAAAGCAAAATCAAAACAGAGAAATAAAGATGCAAACGTTCAATAGGCAAAACAGAGTCTTAAATGCAAGGCAAAGTTCCCAAGATCCACAGGCAAATAACATGAAGCATAATCCCTTAGCAATGGTCAAACAATAATCCATGGTAGACAGGTAAAATCAGGATCAGAATGAAGTCTCAAAGAAGCCAGAAATGTTCCGCAAAAGTCAAGAATTCCACAGAATTCCACAGAAGTTAACGGGTAAGAAGCAACATTGGACTGACAAGAAATGCCTGTCAGCCACATCATTAAATAAGTTTCCCTGACATGAAAGCATTGCGTTGACCTTTGGCTTCCCTCATGCTGGTAAGATGTGTGCTTCTGCGAAGCCTTAATTGCAAACGATCCTATCTGCTCATTAATTCATCATTATCTTCAAGGCTATACAACTCCTTATCTTGGCCCAGCTGGGCCGGATCACTCTGGGAACCGAAAGGAGTCTCCACCTGCACTTGTGGGCACATTCCTTTCCCCGGGGAACAGACCTGCTGTTTAGCTGTACTCTATTTGCCTATATATTATTTATTGTTTGATTGGCTTGCTTTATATACAATTTTTCTCCCAAATGGAACTCAAAGCAACTACTCAGCCTAATATATTTGAAGTATTAGCCTTTAAGATAACTTGATTAGTCATTTATATCTATACAATTGACAATCCACTTAGACTATGCCTCAATGTGGACCTTAAGATTGTAATTCTCTGTTAATTTTATTTTTTAAAGGAGTAAAAAAAAATCTTAGCCATTATCTTCCACTGCAAGAATACTTTCAAAAATGTCAACTTTCCAAGATAGTTTGTAGTTTGGGACTTATTCTACACAAAACGTATACTTTATTGCAGAAAAAATATTATTGATATAGAAAGTTTTCCTTTTTGGAAAAAATGACATTGCTCAGGACTTGTTTTGTTGCCAAATGTGCATGTTTTAAAAAAAAAGAAAACTACATTTCTTTTGTAGGAAACAGCATTTTCTAAATAGAAAATAAAAATGCTGGTTCCTATGAGAAAATGTGAAGATGCTAATCAGTTTAGTAATGCATTGAATTTGATGAATGATGTGGCTTTGTTCTGAATTTGTGGAAAGGGCTCAGATCACAGCATCCAGAGCTTGATAACTTTATTATTGGAATTGCATACCACCACAGTTTCCCAATCTGCTCTGATGCCCTGTGAAAGCCCTTAGGAGTCAGAGTATAAATTAAGAAATCTGATCAAACAAATGTTCTTTTTGCTGTTAGTTGTAGGCTTTAGCTATGTGGCTCTACCTGGCCGCCCTCTTGGGGTTTTACTTCCTCCGCCGATGGTACCGGGAAAGACAGACTGTGGACAAACTGACCGAGAAATATGTCTTCATCACTGGCTGTGACTCTGGCTTTGGAAACCAGCTCGCCAGGCAGCTGGATGCCCGGGGAATGCGAGTGTTGGCAGCTTGCTTTACCCAGAAAGGAGCAGAGGTGCTGGAGCGTGCCACATCAGAACGGCTAAAAACCACCATTTTGGATGTCACCAGCACAGAAAGCATAGCAGCAGCGACTGAGTGGGTGAAAGGATGCACTGATAAAAAAGGTACGGTAATTTCCCATTACAAGCCTATGTTAAAAAAGGAAAACAAAATATGTTTTCACACACAAGAGTCAGCCTGGGGTCTTTGATGCCTCTGGTGTCTCCTCCTTTTCTCTGAGTTTTGCTGAGTATGGAATACCAAGGATCTAGTGATTCCCTCTCCAGCAAAGGATCACCGCCTTGTCGGGGCGCTGGAGCTTGAGCACCTCAATGATATCATGAGCGAAACCGTGAAGGGACACCCAAGACGGGACGGTTGTGGCAGAGAGGTCAGACCAAGCGTGATCCCTGGGGAAGGCAATGGCAAACCACTCCAGTATCCTTGCCAAGAAAACTAAATGGACCAGTACACCCAGAGATATGTCGGTATGCCATTGGAAGATGGGACTCCCAGGTCGGAAGATGGCCAAAATGCTACTGGGGAGGAGCAGAGGATAAGTTCAACTAGCCCCAGATGTGATGACGCAGCTAGCTCAAAGCCGAAAGGAAGGCTAGCGGCCGACGGTACTGGAGGCGAACGACGAATCCGATGCTCTAAAGATCAACACACCATAGGAACCTGGAATGTAAGATCTATGAGCCAGGGCAAATTGGATGTTGTTATTGGTGAGATGTCAAGACTAAAGATAGACATTCTGGGGGTCAGCGAACTGAAATGGACTGGAATGGGCCACTTCACATCAGATGACCACCAGATCTACTACTGCGGACAAGAGGAACATCGAAGAAATGGAGTAGCCTTCATATTAATAAGAAATGCGCTAAAGCGGTGCTTGGATACAACCCAAAAAATGACAGAATGATCTCAATTCGAGTGCAAGGAAAGCCTTTCAACATTACAGTGATCCAAATATACGCCCCAACCACAGCTGCTGAAGAAGCAGAAGTAGATCAGTTCTATGAGGATCTGCAGGACCTACTGGATAATACACCAAAAAGAGACATTATTTTCATTACAGGAAACTGGAATGCCAAGGTGGGAAGTCAAATGACAACTGGGATCACAGGCAAGCATGGTCTGGGAGAACAAAATGAAGCGGGACGCAGGCTGATAGAATTTTGCCAGGAAAACTCGCTGTGTATAACGAATACTCTCTTCCAACAACCTAAAGACGGCTTTATACATGGACCTCACCAGATGGTCAACACCGAAATCAGATTGACTACATCCTTTGCAGCCAAAGGTGGCGGACATCCATCCAGTCGGTGAAAACAAGACCTGGGGCTGACTGTAGCTCAGATCACGAACTTCTTATTGCTCAATTTAGAATAAAACTAAAGAGATCAGGGAAAATACACAGACCAGTTAGATTTGATCTCACTAACATTCCTAGTGAATATACAGTGGAAGTGAAGAACAGATTTGAAGGACTAGATTTAGTAAACAGAGTCCCAGAAGAACTATGGACAGAAGTCCGAGACATTGTTCAGGAGGCGGCAACAAAGTACGTTCCAAAGAAAAAGAAAACCAAGAAGGCAAAATGGTTGTCTGCTGAGACACTGGAAGTAGCCCAAGACAGGAGGAAAGCAAAAGGAAACAGTGATAAGGGGAGATATGCCCAGTTAAATGCGCAATTCCAGAGGTTAGCCAGAAGAGATAAGGAACTATTTTTAAATAAGCAATGCATAGAAGTGGAAGAAGACAACAGAATAGGAAGGACAAGAGACCTCTTCCAGAAAATTAGAAACATTGGAGGTAAATTTCAGGCAAAAATTGGTATGATAAGAAACAAAGATGGCAGGGACCTAACAGAAGCTGAAGAGATCAAGAGAAGGTGGCGAGACTATACAGAAGATCTGTACAGGAAGGATAATAATATTGAGGATAGTTTTGACGGTGTAGTGAATGAATTAGATCCAGACATCCTGAGGAGTGAGGTTGAATGGGCCTTAAGAAGCATTGCTAACAACAAGGCAGCAGGAGACGACGGGATCCCAGCTGAACTGTTTAAAATCTTAAAAGATGATGCTGTCAAGGTGATGCATGCCATTTGCCAGCAAATATGGAAAACACAAGAATGGTCATCAGATTGGAAAAAATCAACTTATATCCCCATACCAAAAAAGGGAAATGCGAAAGACTGCTCAAACTTCCGTACAGTGGCCCTTATTTCTCATGCCAGTAAGGTAATGTTCAAGATCCTGCAAGGAAGACTCCAGCAATACATGGAGCGAGAGTTGCCAGATGTTCAAGCTGGGTTTAGAAAAGGCAGAGGAACGAGAGACCAGATTGCCAATATCCGCTGGATAATGGAGAAAGGCAGGGAGATTCAGAAAAACATCTACTTCTGCTTCATTGACTATTCTAAAGCCTTTGACTGTGTGGATCATAATAAATTGTGGCAAGTTCTTAGTGGGATGGGCATCCCAAGCCACCTTGTCTCTCTCCTGAGGAATCTGTACAAGGACCAAGTAGCAACAGTAAGAACTGACCATGGAACAACAGACTGGTTCAAGAGTGGGAAAGGCGTACGGCAAGGCTGCATCCTCTCACCCAACCTTTTTAACTTGTATGCAGAACACATCATGCGATGTGCGGGGCTGGATGAATGCAAGGCTGGGGTGAAAATTGCTGGAAGAAACATTAACAACCTCAGATATGCAGATGACACCACTCTGATGGCCGAAAGCGAGGAGGAGCTGAGGAGCCTTCTAATCAAGGTGAAAGAAGAAAGCGCAAAAGCCGGGTTGCAGCTAAACGTCAAAAAAACCAAGATTATGGCAACAAGAATGATTGACAACAGGAAAATAGAGGGAGAAACCGTGGAGGCCATGACAGACTTTGTATTTCTAGGTGCAAAGATTACTGCAGATGCAGACTGTGGCCAGGAAATCAGAAGACGCTTACTTCTTGGGAGGAGAGCAATGTCCAATCTCGATAAAATAGTAAAGAGTAGAGACATCAGACTGGCAACAAAGATCCGCCTAGTCAAAGCCATGGTATTCCCTGTAGTAACCTACGGATGTGAGAGCTGGACCATAGGGAAGGCTGAGCGAAGGAAGATAGATGCTTTTGAGCTGTGGTGTTGGAGGAAAGTTCTGAGAGTGCCTTGGACTGCGAGAAGATCCAACCAGTCCATACTCCAGGAAATAAAGCCTGACTGCTCACTGGAGGGAAGGATACTAGAGACAAAGTTGAAGTACTTTGGCCACATCATGAGGAGACAGGAAAGCCTAGAGAAGACAATCATGCTGGGGAAAGTGGAAGGCAAAAGGAAGAGGGGCCGACCAAGGGCAAGATGGATGGATGGCATCCTTGAAGTGACTGGACTGACCTTGAGGAGCTGGGGGTGGTAACGGCCGACAGGGAGCTCTGGCGTGGGCTGGTCCATGAGGTCACGAAGAGTCGGAGACGACTGAACGAATGAACAACAACAAGTGATTCCCTGCCTTCTTTGTGTGTCTAAACTTTGTAAAAGAAAGAAGGAAAAAAATTTAGAAGTCTTCCTAATTTAACCTGTTAGAATCGGTGTAGGGAATTTATAAATAATAAAAATCAGGCCAGAAACTATGTAATAGGAAGGAAGAATGGAATAATACATGGATGTCTCCAACCCAAGGGATGTATTATTCCATTCTTCCTTCCTAAATTGGTCGGGCGGAAGGAGGGGAGAATATGACCAAGTACAAATATTATATAGATATTAGGAAGTATTGTATGGTTCATGCATGTATATAGATTTCATTGTATTGTACTGGTTCTACATGTATATAGATTTCACTGGTTTTTTATGAATATGTAAATTGAAATTAAAAAATAACTTTGAAAGAAAAAGTCATGTGCCTACATTTTATCCAAAGGCACAAAATAAATAAAATAAATCCAAAGGCAATTGGGAAAGGAAGGGGAAAGGCTTAGTATTGATAGCAGTGCCGGTGGCAGTAGCAGTAACACTAGCAGTAAGTTTAATACAGAAAAAATTGGTGGGTGCAAGATGGCTAGGCAAAATATCCAGTGGTGCTGCAGTGGCTTCAAAAGTAGACATCTATCCAGAGTGGGATTTAGGGAAATTTTAGTATTTTTTCTGCATTTTACTTAACTGGTGTTTATAAAAGGACACCACTGGCTCACTTAATCCAACAATGGGAATAGTTTCTTTCCCACAGCTATTTTTTAGAAGAGGACTCTGTCTGAATATAGAGTATCTGTGTAGCTATTGTGACTAATAATTATAACTAAGCATAGATCTTGGAAAGCTATTTGGGGAGGGGAGGGATACCATTCTCATAAAGCTCCAACTATCATGACCAGGAGTTATACCAACAGGGGAGCTTGGAAGTATTCCAAAAGCGTAAGTGTTCCAGATTTCATCCAGAATTATGTGCCAGTTAATTAACCCTCACCCAGACAGAGGGTCTCTGCCTAGATCCAGGGCAAACCTTGGTCTGTAAATCACACTTTTCCCACACCCAATTCAAACATTTTTCAAAGGTGATTCAGCTTTCTTGGAAACTCCTAGCAGAAACAATTCAGAGTAGTGTGTGGCAGAAAAGGACTTATCCAAAAAGTCTTGTAGAAATCAGTGGCTGCTCTTTTGGCGGCTCTTTCTACTCACCACACAGAAAAGCTCTACTAAGTGGCTGAAGAAAGGATGATGATGGCAGAAACATAAAAATGTTTTACAAGCTTCACCACTCCAGAATATTTCCAAAATGTGCTTCATTTCCATATATTTATAGGGTTTAAACTGATTGCTTTTTAGTCATTCTTCTTCTCATTTCTTCTCCTCAGCTCTGCAGTAAACCCGGGAATTGGGCTTTATGTTGCTGGACAGGATGTTTGGGACTAGCTATCTCAACAGACATTTCCTTCAAACTATTTCATAGTAAGACCCAAGTTTCAACAAGAAAGTCAGTCAAGTCAACCAGGAAATTCTCCAGACCACTGAATAATCCAAAATTTCCTAAATCCTTAAGGGCAGGTCAACTTGATATAGCAATCTTGCTCAGAAGAAAGCTAAATTTTGCCAGTATGTGGATTGATAGTGGTGTAACAGATACCTTGGGAACAAATGTCAGTGTATTCAGACACAGTAATGGAGACCATTTCAAAATACTGTGATTTGAGAAACATCAACACATAGTTCATTAAAGACAGAAAATTCATTTTTCTCCACAGGGCTCTGGGGCTTGGTGAACAATGCAGGACTCTTGTACCCAATAGGCCCCAACGAATGGATGACCAAGGCTGATTTCGCAAAGGTGTTAGAGGTCAACCTTCTTGGACCAATTGACGTAACATTGCACCTGCTGCCTCTAGTCAGGAAGGCCCAAGGAAGGGTGGTCAATGTGAGCAGTGTTGCTGGAAGGTTTGCTTATTGTGGAGGAGGCTATAGCCCTTCAAAATTTGGCTTGGAAGCATTCTCTGACACTCTCAGGTAAATCATCTTCCTGGATTCCTTCTCCATTCAGCTTCCAGTGCTACCAAGGGGAAAGGCAGATGGATCTGGCAACACTTGGCTATTGAGCATCTTTAGAATATGCCTTCTAACAATTTCCTAAAGCAGACACTGACTAACCTGACCTTTTTATTAGTACCACTTCTGAGCATGAGTGTGGTCCTCATTGCATAAGCAGCAGGAAAGTAGAGGAAACCGTCTTACCACAGACCCTCCCATCTTTCCTAGTCTTTGTCCATCTCCTGGGATGGCTACCTCCTTACCGCATCCATGCCTGCCTTTCCCCAGCTTTCCCCCACTTTCTGCCATTTGGAGTCAGGTGACACCCAGCATCTGAAAGTGGCTTCAAGATTCCATTTCCATGCACTGTGGAAACAGAGCCCCAGGAGTCCCCCAGAGGTGCTCTTACATCATAGGATGGCTCCCATGAGATTCTCATGGAGCTTCATTTCCAAAGCACATGGAAACGGAGCCTAGAAACCATGGGATGAAGTCCTAGGTGTTGCATTCTAAATTCAGAATTGTAAATGGGGAAATTCTGTAACACAGGATACTGTCTCTTCCAGGGAGGCTCCTTGTTGTTATTGTGTGCCTTTAAGTAATTTTCAACTGAAGATGAATCAATCACAGATTCTTCCGGAGCTGACTGTGTGTCACTCCCACAAGAAGGCCCAAATCTGTTTTCATGGCCAAGTGGGGGATTGAATCCTGGTCTCCACAATCACAGTCCATTGATTAAACTGCGTACCATAATTCCAAATGAGGGATTGGCAGTCTTTTCACAGGTTCTAACAGAGGCTTCCCTAAAAATTACCACCAAATATTTTGGCTTTTTGGTTTTTCTTAATTTTGTTTTAATTCACAGTTTGTTGTTACAAAATTATATTGCACTATTCCTATAATTTTATCTATGATCATTACCAATTAGCAATAATTAAAACAGTGAATAATAAGATCAGAATAATATCACATTGATTCTATTTGTGTTATTTTCACATATTCCATAGTCATTGTGATGATGTTGTTGGCCTCTGCTTTGTGCTCCCGATTCATGCAGCTTTTCTACTAAAAAAAAATCCTATTCCCCTTGACAAGATAAAATCTGGACAACGATTCTTACATTCTGTTGCTTTGGCTCATTTATCGGGAATTCTTAATTGAACAGTCATTACCAGGAGGATGGCAAGAAGGAACCCTAAAGACCCCAGCCCATAAGAAAGGGCTCTCTCTCTTTTAACACTGATTTACCTTCTAGGCGTGACTTACGACCTTTTGGAGTCAGCGTCAGCATCATTGAACCAAGTGGCTTTAACACAAAAATAAATGAAGATGCAAGCGGTTCCTTCAGCAATGTATGGAGCAAGTTGCCTGCTGAGATAAGAGAACTCTATGGAGAGAAGTACTTCAGAAACAGTGAGTGAAAAACAGCCAGACGCTCAATGTACTATAGTATTTATTTATTTATTTATTTACAGCTTTTATATTCCGCCCTTCTCACCCCGCAGGGGACTCAGGGCGGATTACAGTGTACACATATATGGCAAACATTCAATGCCAATTTTTGACATACAAACAAATACAGACATACACAGAGGCTATTTAACTTTTTCTGGCCGCCAGGGGAGCTGTCGCTTTCATCGTCCATCTGCGACGCTGATGAAGCACTTCCGCATTTCCCCGCATGCTTCCCCGCTGGAATGCTTTGCTGGAGTCTTCTTTATGGCCTCATAAATCAGTTAATTTAGCCTCCCCACACTTTAAGGTGGTACCTTATTTTCCTACTTGACAGATGCAACTGTCTTTCGGGTTGCAAAGGTCGACAACGGGCTACACAATGGTTGGAAACCCACTCCAACCTCAGCTGGCTTCGAACTCATGACCTTTTGGTCAGAGTAATCTTAATGCAGCTGACACTCAGCCAGCTGCGCCACAATCCCGGTACTGAAGTCTGGATGAAGATGGGCTAGAAATGAACAAAACTGTGTCTCGTCACATATCATTAATCTGGAAGGGTTTTTTTAAAAAAAAAAACGAAAAGCAAAAAAACAAGTACATTCTAAATTCTTTAATTACTTATTGTGTAATACATCCTGGTTGTGCCCTTTGATGGAATCTTTCTGAGCTGGCTCCATTCCAAGTAGATTATACTATGACTTTAATCAAAAGTTGCCAAGTCTAGTAAAGGACCCAATACTGCCAAGCTGCACAAGTTCATTATGCTTTCTTGCTTGGGCACACACAGGCTAAAGGAAAATGACTCCCAGATCAAAGGGCCTACTCCTTTTCTTCTGGACCTCAAGGCAAGGCGATGAATCTTGGGGCAAGAGTGATGCCTTAAACACTGTTATTTTACTCTGTGCTGCTGCATTTGCCATGCAAGTCGCTTTAAAGATGCCATTATATTATCCAAGGATGTTGCTGCAGCCTGGCCATTTCCCTCTCTCTCTTTCCTCCCCATCATTTTTTTCAAGCTTTAACCAGTATGAGGTTTCAACAGGAGCAATTAGCATGAAGAAATTCCATGTTTCTTCCATATTTACTATCTCCGGCACCACGGAATATAGCATTTCTTCTTACATTCTTTATCAGGTCTCCATTTCTGTTCTATAAATCGATTAAACTCTTCATAGAGTGATGTTCTATCATCACCATCATCGCCACCTCCTCCAAATTTTTTCTGGAATTGTGGCAGGCTGACTGTTGGGTCCTTTTTTGGGGTCCTTTTTTTCCCCTTGTTGAAAATAAGGACCTTTGCCGTCTTCCACTCTGCTGGGACTTCTCCTGATTTTCAAAAATTCGTTACAATAATTACCAGGGTTGTGATATTACTTCTACCAGTTCTTTTAATGCCCTTGGATGTAGATCATCTTGCCGTGGAGTCTTGAATTTATTTAGAGTAGCTAGATATTCCTGTACTGCCTCTTTACCTATTATGTGCTGCATTTCCCCTGTTGTATCCTCTGCTCCATCCTTCCCAAACTGAGCACTGAACACGTTTGGGAGAAGATTGTGGCAAAGAAGGTGCCCAGTAGTTCTACCTTTTCTCTGTCTCCTGTTAACTTTTTGCCAGCAGAGTCATCCACAAGGCTACCTGAACTTTTTTCCTCTTTTGAAGTTCTATTCCTGTTCATTTGACACTCTTGGCATTTTTCACTCACGTATGAAATGAATTATGTTGAATTAACTTTTCGGTCACTGTTTCTTCTGAGTTCTGCAATATTCACACCAAATCCTGAGTGCCTTTCTAGCCAGTGATAGAAAGTTGGACCTATGTGTCAAAGTGTCAAGGTAAAGAGAAGTTAATCATACACATGAGTTCAGAATTTGCAGAAGTTTAGCAAGAATGGGGAGGAGCAATCTCTGCCTGTGTTCTGCTGTCATATAACTTACTTTTTTGAGCTATATAAATAGAAAGCCACCAGACTAATGGGCTATCCAGAGCATAGCCCTTTTGGACATACAGCTATCAGTCTTTTCAGTTCCTGGCCACCAGTGGATGATGTAAGTTCCTTAAAACTGATGTTTTCCAAGTTTCCTGAGTGAAGTTTCCACTTCACATTCTTCGTCATTTGAAGAAATGGTAGTTCTTCAAGTTTGTCTGGGATCCCAGTAGCACCCTTATTCCTAGGAATAGATCCAGTGCAATAAATAAAATGTGTTCTGATGATAATCTGCAGGGATTCCTAAACATATTTGAGTGAATAGCTCAAGCTGTATTGAATAGAATATTTGTTAATTGTCCCTCAGCTCATCAGACTCCCAATACAGTGCCACACACATAAAACAGACTTTAAAAATATTTTAACATGTTTTTAAAGAGGTTGACAGATACTATCAAGGTCACAAAAGTAGTGATGCATATGTAGGGGCAGTTAGTGGGATTAAGCTAAGGTATAGAAGGTAATATGCCAAACAGAACCATCAATGCCCGGTTTTGAGTTAGCAAGGGGGATTTCCTTGCTTGAGGGGATAAAAGTGTTACCATTACTAAATCAAAGGGCCTTCCTGCTTACCTTTGGAATATTAGAAGAAATCCAAGGTAAAACTATGATAGCTGGGACCCTATGCTGGTTGCGCAATGGGGGTCTGAATTAATGAGGGGAACGTGTGCGAGACAGCTCAGTAAGTGAGAGACGCAGCTGTAACAGAGTCGTGGCAACATTGTTCATCAGAAAGGGGGACAGGTTACATTTCTATCCCATTTACCATCTTCGTAAGCCATTGTTTATCATTTAGCATTAAATAACTCTTACATTACTTCACTCTTATCCTGTTGCTTCTGAGTTAAATTACTTCACTGCTATCCTGTCACAGCTGCATCTCTCACTCGCTCCACTGTCTCACGCATGTCTTCCCTTCATTAATTCTGACCCGCGTTGCACAACTAGCATAGCATAGGGTCCCAGCTATCATACTTTTGCCGAAATCCAACTTGTCACCTGTTTTACATTCCATGTATTGTGAATTTATCTTCTTCAGGGGTAGACATTGCTATGGAATGGGGAAATGCAAAGCTCAGTGATGTTGAGAGTCAACAAGGTTGCCATTTTCAGGAGCAGCTTCATGTTTCTCCTCATCAGCCTTTTAAATTCAAAAATGTCAGCTATTCTGTTCAGACAAGAGATTTGTGTAGTTCAGAAATCTGTCAGTAATACCCCGAGAACAAAGTAAAAGAAAACCCTGTTACACAGAAATCATAAAAACTTACAAGGAAATGTGACTAATCTATGCTTCCTTTCTCCCAATTGCAGTTTTCAAGACATTTTTGGGGGCCAAATGGGAGAAGAAAAACCTCTCTCTTGTCACAGACTGTATGGAGCATGCACTGACCTCCTGCTATCCTCGTAGCCGCTATGCTGTTGGTTGGGATGCCAAATTGATCTACATTCCCCTTTCTTATTTGCCAGCTTCAATTGCGGATTATATTGTAACTTATGGCAGTCCCAAACCAGACAAAGCCCTTTACTGATCTTTGGCACACAACATTTACAAGTGCCAAGGCATACAACTTGTGAAAAATGTTGGGTGCTACAAAGTCTTCTGATTACTTTTTTTAAAACTGCTGGACAAGCACAAGGCTGAAGCTGTTTAGTAGTGTCACATCCTTATTTGCATAACACTGATATTTGAAACTGAGATTCGGAAGTATTGGAAAGGAATTGAAATGTGTATGTCACACACCCCAAAATAAACTTTATCCTATCCACTATATATCTCTCCTGGTTGTAATTCCATTTTTTTCCCCAAATCCACAACAATTCCCTCCAGATACAATTATTCTTTTATGCATGATGATCCCAGATGGCAATTAAAAAAGAATACTTGGGGGTTGCACTCATCACAAATTCTATACACAAATCTCCAGGAAAATGTATTCTGAGGCACACCCAGCCCTGTGCCTGCCCCAACACTTTGTTTGGTTCATGAGGCAGTCAAACCTAGTACCCAAATCAGCCAATGTAGATTGAAATGAATAAGCAACTGGGTATGAGCCTCATGCCACATTCTTGGAAGTAGTGCTCTCCTCACAGGGACACCTGAATTTGAATGGCTGAGCTTTGAGTAGGTTCACCAACAAAAACAGTGTGAGATATTGCTTGTTGATTCTTGTAAACTTGTTTTGCTGGTGCTTGGCCTGTATTAACTTTCAATTATTACTGAGTTGTTTTTTTAAAGTACACTTCAACAAAAAATCTACCATTAGTAAACTGATAATCTGTGGTTGGGAAACCAAGAAAGGAGCAAAGTACATTATGGTTATTTAATGTTTCTTAGGCACTTACAACACTGTCTTCTTTTTGCCCTGAACTTCTTTGAGCAGATAAGGTTTTGTTGTAGTCTTGTAAATATACTTGAAGCAATTTTGTGTTGTGCCTGAGATCTACCTTATACTTTTGTAATTTTATCAGGAACCTATGCGAAATACCTGGATTGTGGCCAAATATAGCAAATTACTACACTCACAAAAAAGCAAAAACACTACACCAGTGGTTCTCAACCTGTGGGTCCCCAGATGTTCTGGCTTTCATCTCCCAGAAATCCTAACAGTTGGTAAACTGGCTGGGATTTCTGGGAGTTGTAGACCAAAATACCTGGGAAACCACAGCTTGAGATCCACTGTACTACACAGTATATTTTTTTTGAGTACAGTCTAAAAAGGATTTGTTTTAAGCTGTAAACTGAGTTGTGCTTTTTGTGTGATTTTGGTGAAAATAACTACAGTTCGGTAGAGAAACCCATCTTGGCAACAGAAATTTGTTGACCTAGCAAGAACATGCTTTTCAACATTTCACAGATAAAAACCAGGGTGCAATGACCAAGCAATTTCACGGTTTGGTCAAGAGGGCAAAAGTTATTTATAACAAAGAAGAGGCAAGCGCTGCATAGTGATCAAACCAGCAAAACCAGAGGAAGAAGGGGAATGTTTCCCTTCCCAGTAGACTTTGGTAAAAGCCAAATGCTGCAGCCATTCTTAGTTTATAGATGTCATCACATGGAGGTCTTTAAGTCAGGGGGCAGTGGGGCAAATCTGTGGGGCAGAGTTGGAACCTGGCAGTGCCCTGCATCACTCCCCTACCATCACCCATAGTTTTCTGTTTGTCCCCAGCTTACTCTATGAGAACACAGGTAGTAGTCACCTGTGTTCTCAGGGCAGCCTCGTAGCACAAAACTCCATTGGAAGTAGCCCTGTGTCATGTGAAGGGCTCCAGCAGGCTCCATTCTGGCTGTGTCTCCACTGCATTCTAGGACAGGGCTTTTTGTCTATGTGATGAGGTCCTTAGCATTCTTCCTCATTGATAACTGCCCACTTCGATCACACTCTTGATAACGCATGCCCATATATGTATCCAAGTTTTCATATGTGAAATTATAGAGGGTGTTCTATCTTTTTTAAAGAACTCCTTAGTATATTAATTGCAATGCTAGGAGAAGCCTAGGTATAGCCAGAACAAGATAGTTGAAGTTTAGATGATCACTAGCTAGGACATTCACCAGGCAAAAAAGAACAATCTCCATACATGCAAAAATATAAGAGGATATATGTTGGATGATGCCTCTGTTGGCTAGCCCTGAAAGCCAAGCAGTTGCCTGTCAAAACCCACATACATAACACAAAGAACCTAAATGCAATAACTCACTCACTCCTTCCTGCTTTAGCTTTTTAAATCAACAAAAATATATTGAGACTTTGATTCTTGAATATATAATACCATATATATCCGACATGACTAGTACCCATTGATAAGCTTATCCTTCACCAAGCTGCCTAATCTCCTTTTAAAGCAGTTGGCAAATATCATCACACCTTCTAATAGCAAATTCCAGTTCAAGTGTGTTTTATTAGCCCTACCATTATGAGAAGGGAGAAGAAAAATAGTTTCCTATTTGCTTTTTCCACTTCATGCATAGGTGTATGTGCACTCCCAATGGTCATGTTTTGTCTTTATGTATGTTTAAAAAACCAAAGTACCCACAGGGCAGGGTTTATTTTGCAGTGTTTATTTTCTATTGCTTCCTGGATAAGGGTGAGGGCACTAGAATTCCTCACAATATCTCAAATGTGATTGTGCTATAGATTTCTAGACATGCAATATGATATAGGCCATTTTATTTTGTATTAGTGACCCCTTGAAACACAGAAGGTATGTTCCCAGACTTTGCATGGATCCACAAAACCACAGATACTGCCCATCACAGAAACTCCCTTTTGCTCCATTCCAGACAAGTCAACACATTGGGTTTACAACATTTTCAAAGAGCTGCCCACCATAAACCTAAAATTTCTTTCTCAATCAATCATCCCAGCTGAAGATTTCTTCACAATGTGGCTGAAGTTGAGATTAGTTGGCCCCAATATGCCTCTTTCTATACTTGCTCACACTGAACCCAATTTATCATTTTAATCTCCATTTTCCCACAGCTTGGAGAGATCCCTTTAGCACTCCTCACAGTGTGTTTTTAGTTCTACCAACTCCCAATGATTGGATAGGTAAAAGTTTTCTCTTGACATTAAGTCCAGTCGTGTCCGACTCTGGGAGTTGGTGCTCATCTCCATTTCTAAGCCGAAGCGAAGCGAAGTTGTCTGTAGACACCTCCAAGGTCATGTGGCCAGCATGACTGCATGGTGCGCCGTTACCTTCCCGCTGGAGTGGTACCTATTGTTCTACTTACATTTGCATGTTTTCGAACTGCTAGGCTGGCAGAAGTTAGGCCTAACAGTGGGAGCTCCCGTTGCTCCCCGGATTCGAACCTGTGACCTTTCGGTAAGCAAATTCAACAGCTCAGCAGTTTAACCCGCTGTGCCACCAGGGGCTCCCAATGATTTGGTGCTCCCACAAAATTGGGCATCTCACTCTTCAAGAAAAACATCATATAATTTATAAACAATTTTTTAAAATGGTCATAACAAAGTTAGTTTAGGTGTCCAGTACACAAGGAATGCTGTGGGCCATTCAGTTTTTGGGACTCTGGATCTGGATCGCATGCCATGTTGACCTTTATTTTATTTATTATTTATTTAAAGCATTTATATTCCACCCTTCTCACCCCAAAGGGGACTCAGGGCGCAGCACAACATATATATGGCAAATATTCAATGCCAGATCATAAAACAAAGTATAAATAGACATAAATATTAAAATCAGTTGTTGTTTATTCATTCAGTCGCTTCTGACTCTTTGTGACCTCATGGACCAGCCCATGCCCTGTCGGCTGTCACCACCCCCAGCTCCTTCAGAGTCAAGCCAGTCACTTCAAGGATACCATCCAACTAAAAACCTGGATGTTCCGGTGCACTTTTGACTAAGCAGCTCACCAGTAGCTTTCTTGTCCCTACTTGAAGTTCCGCACTTTCCGGCTCACATTTTACACTGGCATACGTTCTACCTCAACATGTGTTATGACAGTATTTCCTGCCCAGTTTACTGTATTGTTGCACTTTCCTACGCTCCTGTAAAAATATATTGTACTCATTGAATCTTTACCTCAGTTATGTTTCTTTCAGCCGTATTGTTTTTATATTGCTTTCAATTGTGTTGTTATTGGTTTTATCTGACGTTTTAATTGGTTAAAGTGTTTTACATGTGTGTTTTAATTGTAATCTTGGGCATGTCCCTTGTAAGCAGCTACATCTGAGCAGGGAGCCGCTCAGCACCAGCAACACCTGTGCAGGGAGCCCCCATGGCCCCCACTGCCTGGCCCCTTTAAGGGCCCAAGTCTCCTTGCCGCCCAGCAGCGGCTACATCTGAGCAGGGAGCTGCCCAGCACTAGCAACATCTGTGCAGGGAGCCCCCATGGCCCCCACTGCCTTGCCTCCTTGCTGCCCGGCACCTGTAACATCTGTTGATGTGTGAGGACTACTTACCTGGATTAGCTAAACTGAGGCTTTCCCATCAATTCCTTACTGATTGTTTTGGGCAGCCTTGGTGGCTCTGGTCCTCATCACAAACTTTCATTATAATTACACTGATCGGTAATTGAAAACTACACACATTGGCAAACAATCATGTCTGACAATTTTAATGATTTTAATTTACAGTTATATGTTATTGTTTTTGATATGTAATGTATTGTTTTTATTAGTATGTGAGGCATTGGATTTTTGCCAATTATTATTCTGTACACTGCTTTGAGTCCCCCTAGGGATGAGAAAAGCGGTATAGAAATGCAGTAAATAAAAATAAATAAATAAGCCTCCCCGAGTCCCCTAGGGGAGATGGTTGGCGGGGTATAAAAATAAAGTTATTATTATTATATTATTATCCATCCATCTTGCCCTTGGTCGGCCCCTCTTCCTTTTTCCTTTCATTTTCCCCAGCATCATTGTCTTCTCTAAGATTTCCTGTCTTCTCATGATGTGGCCAAAGTACTTCATCTTTGCCTCTAAATATCCTTCCCTCCAGTGAGCAGTCGGGCTTTATTTCCTGGAGTATGGACTGGTTGGATCTTCTCGCAGTCCAAGGCACTCTCAGAATTTTCCTCCAACACCACAATTCAAAAGCGTCTATCTTCCTTCGCTCAGCCTTCCTTATGGTCCAGCTCTCACATCCATAGGTTACTACAGGGAATACCATTGCTTTAACTGTGTGGATCTTCGTTGCCAGTGTGATGCCTCTAGTCTTCACTATTTTATCGAGATTGGTCATTGCACTCCTCCCAAATCAGTTGCATCCACTTTTAAATCAATTGTTAAAAATCATCTCAAAATAGCCATTTACAGCTATAATGCATTAAAAGTTTTGGCTGTGTCCTGTCAAGCTCATGTTGTGTGGTGGTTGGTCAGTCTTTTGCTTCTACCAGCCTTTATCACCCTATACCTGCAAGTGACCATGGCATTTATTCCCACTCAAACCTTCCTGGATTATTTTTAATGAAATACCAATCACAAAATTCAATCCACCATATTCTGTTGTATGGGCATACTATTGCATAAAAAGGGAAAAGAGTTTAGTTGAGATAATATTCTTGCTGACAGAGGAGACCATTTGGAATTGTTCTTGAAAACGTCTGATGAAATCTTATCATCACTGGGTTTTAGTTTGCTCACTTCTTGTGCCAAGACAAAGGGTCAAAGGTCTGTCATTCCAGGTCTTGATATATTTATGCATGGGAAGAAAACCTGCATGTGTGTGTGTTTTACCAAATCCCTGCCTTACAAAATAAATTAATCCAGCCATGATCAGGAGGGAGGAGCCGCTTGCTTTCTGTTGTGCAGTTCAAGGTTCGGCAGCAGTGCCTTCACACACAAAGTGAAGCAGAGGAAGAACACGGGGGACTAGAAGAGAAGACCACGGCTTTGTCCATCACCACAAACAGGAACCAGGAGGCTTTCAATCAATCCATCCACAGGTTAGTCACTGACCCAAGCCAGGTCTGTTCTCTGCAAATGTGTATTTTCCTTAATGCTTGCAAGCTAGGGCGTGAGCATGGTCCTTTCAAACAGGGGCTCATGAGTCTGGGGGTTTGCTTCTTTTTTTTAAAGCCAAAAGATGATCAGAAATTCAACAGCAATGCTTATCTCATATTGGCACATTCATGCCAGGTAAAATGCTCCTCTGCTGAATTCCTCATTCTTGTCAGTTCTTCAGAGAGAGAGAGAGAGAGAAAACTGACAAGGTAAAAGAGAGGGAAACATTCATTTAAAAGACTAATTTATTCATCTCATAAGTTCTTTTTAGACCTTGAAATTGAATAAAAGTGCATGGTGAATGCTTCCAAGCAAGTTTGCTTTGAGAAGTGTCATAAACAAAACTAAGAGTGAGTGGGGGAAAGTAAAGCGTGGGTGTGGGCTGACCAGGAATCCCAGCCAAACAGCCTTGCACTGGTGCGCACACAATGTGACTGCCAAAATCAACAAGTGAAACTTTTCAAGACCTCGATGAAAACGTTGATATTTTGTATGCTGGTCTGCAAAAGAGTTACGCATGGTGGATGCCTGGAACAAAATAAACCTTTTATTTTTATTTTTAATCTTGACAAAATATATTATCAAAACACAAAAAAGGAAAGGAAAAAAATCAGCAAAACTACTATAGAGATTACATAACCACCCATTTAAAAGCTGAATCATATTTCCGTTTAGGAAGCATAGAAAACCTTATATTGACAAAACTGGCTGAGAGTCTGGTCATCTTTCCACAGACTTGAGCACAGGTTTTGTTTTTATATAAAGTGTAAGACAGATTCCGTGAGACAGGAATAGCTAAGGAGAAGGACTAAAGCTGGAGAAAATGCATCAGTTAAAACGCTAGTTCTAGGCAACAGAAGTCATTAGGAAAACAGTTGGAAAAACTGAAGAACTGTGATTAGGAAACAAATGGCTGTTTTGCTCTTTCTCTTATGCCCTGGTGTACTTTTCATCCATCTTCAATTCAGTTGGCAACATATTTTTAGAGGCTTGTTGAAGTTAGAGCTAGAATTTTGAAAGAAAAATCATTTATAAAAATCTATACCATCTCCGAGCCCCCTGGTGGCACAGTGGCTTAAACCGATGAGCTGCTGAACTTGCTGACCGAACGGTTGGTGGTTCAAATCTGGGCAGCTCAAAAACATGCAAATGTGAGTACATCAAAAGGTACCGCTTCTGTAGGAAGGTAATGGCAGTCCATGCAGTCATGCTGGCCACATGACCTTGGAGGTGTCTGTGGACAAAGCCAGCTCTTTGGCTTACAAATGGAGATGAGCACCACCGTCTAGAGTAAGACATGACTAGACTTAATGTCAGGGGAAATCTTTCCCTTTACCTTACTATACCATTTCTATCTGAACTAATAAACAAATATTAGACAGACAACCACTAGGCTCAATCTATGAACCTCACACTTGTGACCTTGTCACATGGCTGCTGGAGTCGTTCTGTGTCATCAGGGGGTGTGGTGAACCCAGCATCCCACTCCTCTCATTGCCTGGCTCCAATAAAGGGCAGTCCCATAGGGGGAAGCATCAATTGCATAGCTTCCCCCATGGCAAAACCGGAAGCCTCTTGTCTTGCCATGGCAGTGGCATGCACTGGCTCCACCTTACTTCACCCATGGAGACCTGCTGGCGTCGTTTGATGGGAGGCGGCAGGCTCTTTTGGTGACCTGGGCTAAACTGGCATACGCCACTGATTTTAGCCAATTGTGATGAGGCCGTTGTCTGTTGATTGTTAGTCCCTTTTTTACTACTCCCTTAAATAACTCTGTATGTCCATGCTTCTACTTTTAATAATACCATCTCCACTTTTTATGGGGGTGAATACTGTATGGTCTCAAGTAGCACTGAAAGGGGAATTAAACTTCCTTGGTCCAAGAGATATGTACCGTATATACTCAAGTATCAGCCGACCCGAATATAAGACGAGGCACCTAATTTTACCACAAAAAAACCTGGAAAAACCTATTGACTGAAATATAAGCCAAGGGTGAGAAATGCAGCAGCTACTGGTAAATTTCAAAATAAAAATAGATACCAATAAAATTACATTAATTGAGGCATCAGTATAGAATCATAGAATCATAGAGTTGGAAGAGACCTCATGGGCCATCCAGTCCAGCCCCCTGCCAAGAAGCAGGAACATTGCATTCAAAGAACCCCTGACAGATCGCCATCTATCCTCTGTTTAAAAACCTCCAAAGAAGGAGCCTCCACCACACTCCAGGGCAGAGAGTTCCACTGCTGAACGGCTCTCACAGTCAGGAAGTTCTTCCTCATGTTCCGATGGAATCTCCTTTCTTGTAGTTTGAAGCCATTGTTCCGCGTCCTAGTCTCCAAGGAAGCAGAAAACAAGCTTGCTCCCTCCTCCCTGTGACTTCCTCTCACATATTTATACATGGCTATCATATCTCCTCTCAGCCTTCTCTTCTTCAAGCTAAACATGCCCAGCTCTTTAAGCCGCTCCTCATAGGGCTTGTTCTCCAGACCCTTGATCATTTTAGTCGCCCTCCTCTGGACACATTCCAGCTTGTCAATATCTCTCTTGAATTGTGGTGCCCAGAATTGGACACAATATTCCAGGTGTGGTCTAACCAAGGCGGAATAGAGGGGTAGCATTACTTCCCTAGATCTAGACACTATGCTCCTATTGATGCAGGCCAAAATCCCATTGGCTTTTTTTGCCGCCACATCACATTGTTGGCTCATGTTTACGAATATATACATAAAACTGTAATTTAAGATAAGACTGTGTAACTCTGATTAAATCATTATTCTAACCTTCTTCGATGTAAATGTGCTCACGTATCCTTACAATAATAGAGTAAAATAATAAATATAATAATAACAATAATAATAGAGTAAAATAATAAATAAATTAATAACAATAATAAATAGAGTAAAATAATAAATAGAATAATAATAATAATAATAATAATAAATAGAGTAAGATAATAAATGTAATAATAACTAATAATAATGTTAAAATAATAAATGTAATAATAATAATAAATAGAGTTAAAATAAATGTAATAATCATAACAGTAAAATAATAAATAACCTTGACTCAAGTATAAGCCAAGGGGGTCTTTTTCAGTCTAAAAAAGGGCTGAAAAACTAGGCTTATACTCGAGTATATACAGTATCTTATTCCTCTTGTTTTATTTTCCCCCCTTTCAAAGCAACTATGTGGCTCTACCTGGCTCTTCTGGTGGGGCTTTACTTCCTCCTCCGATGGTACCGGGAAGGACAGACTGTGGAGAACCTCAGGGAGAAATACATCTTCATCACCGGCTGTGACACCGGCTTTGGGAATAAGCTGGCCAAGCAGTTGGATGCCCAGGGCCTGCGGGTATTGGCAGCCTGTTTCACCCAGAAAGGGGCAGAAGAGCTGGAGCGGCTGACGTCCGACCAGCTGAAAACCACCATCTTGGACATCAGCAGCACAGAGAGTGTTGCGGCAGCAACAGAGTGGGTGAAAGGAATTGTGAAGAACAAAGGTAACAGTCTCCCTGTACTTCTTTTGTGTTTTCTCTATATTGCCTATCAATTAAGTGAATAGCACAACTGATGATCTTCAAACATTCCCAACTGGAGGCAGAGTCACCAACAGTTCAGAAGCAAAGACCCTGGTCTACTCTTAGGCTTTTTTAGACAGCAGCTCAATATGCAAAATGAGCAGAATAAGTTTTTGTATGGCCCGAAATAAAACAGGACCACCTGCTAAACCATGCTGCCAGTCTGAAATAAAATTAGACTATCTGATGAATCTTGGGAAATGGTTCAGAATGAAGGAGCTACCCCCCTCCCTGATCCTTTTCTGCCACTCAATCTGCCAGTCCCTGCAGGTACAGTATATGCCTGCTCGTAGTAAATGCTTAGCAGTCTTACCTATTCCAGTTCCTTCACAACAAGCAATTTCATAAAGAAGAAGGCAAAAAGTGCAGCTTTGAAAACAAAAGCTGTGGTTCGAATAGCTTGATAGCGGTTTATGTCTACCTGATCAAGATGAAAACAAGCCTCAACTAACCCAGTACTGAAAATATACATAAAGATCCCAATCCTGCTAAAATAATTCTGCTAAAATAAGAGAAGCATTTGCTTTATTCTATCAAATATTATCTAAGGAAGATAATAAAGGTCATCTGGAGGAAATTTTAGGTACAATGTTAGGAGAGGAGGAAAAACAAAGATTAAATTCTGAGCTCACAGAACAGGAAATAAAGGAAGTGGTAAAGAAAGTTTAAAAATCTAAAACTCCAGGATTGAATGGTTTCTCAGCAGAATTTTATAAGGAATGTATAGAAATATTAGACCCAGAAATGCAAAGGTTATTTAGCAATATAATGAGAGGAGAGAAAGCCCTTAACACAGTACGGAAGAGTCATTTTGAAACCACAGAGAAACCCGAAAGGCTCATATGGACCAATCAGCTTATTAAACCAAGACTATAAAAAAATTGCAAAAATTCTAGCAAATAGTGATAAAGGGATAAAAGGGGATCGATATGGATTTGTGAAAGGAAGGTACATTGGACATTAAGTATCAGAAATATAATAAATATAATGGAGTACAGACAAGGAACGAAATTAGCATTATTAAAATTAGATATATACAAAGCATAATAAATCATGAATTTCTATGGGAGACAATGAACAAATTTGGAATAGGTGACCCATTTATAAAGATAAAGTAAAGGTAAAGGTTTTCCCCTGACATTAAGTCCAGCCGGGTCAGCCTCTGGGGTGTGGTGCTCATCTCCATTTCTAAGCTGAAGAGCCAGTGTTGTCCGTAGACACCTCCAAGGTCATGTGGCTGGCATGACTGCATGGAGCACTGTTACCTTCCCGCCAGAGTGGTACCTATTGATCTACTCACAATTGCGTATTTTCGAACTGCTAGGTTGGCAGAAGCTGGAGCTGACAGCGGAAGTTCACGCCGCTCCCTGGATTCAAACCTGTGACCTTTCAGTAAACAAGCTCAGCAGTTCAGCGCTTTAACCCACTGTGCTACTGGTTAAGGCACTATAAAGAGAAAGCAAAGCCATTTTTTGTGGGGGAGTAAACGAGTTTCCCATTCAAAGGAGAGCCAGGCAAGGCTGCCCCCTATCACCACATCTAGTTATAATGAGAATTGAAACATTGACAGACAGAATAAGAAACAGTGTAAAGACAGAAGGCTATAAATGCGATTGTAAGGAAATTATAATTGACTCTTTATGCTGATGACATCATGATGGTATTATCTAACCCTTAAATAGGAATAAGATAATTAAAAATTATATTGACAGATTTTGAAAAAAAACAAAATTGGGAGTGAATATAAAGAAATCAGAAATCATGTATTTTGAGGTAAATGAAACAGAAAAAAAGAGAAATAGATAATATAACAGAAATAGGTATGGGAAAGGCGAAATAAAATATTTAGGAGTGACTATACAAAAGAATATAAAAAAGGATGATAGGCAAAATAAATGTTTCTGATAACAAAATTATTGTATTTACTCTAAGTTCTCTCAATGGAAATTAAACAAAGACAATGTAATATCTGGAACAGGACTATAAAGAAATGAATCTTAGGAGAAAGGAAATCCAAATCCAAAATGCTAAATAAAGTACACTTTACACTCCAGGAAAGATTGGGTTGGGGAATTCCAAACATGGAACTATATTATGAAGTGCTTCAGTTCGAACCATTATTTGAAAATATGAAAGAGAAAAGAGATAAATGGTTTCGGGTAGAAGGAGGAGTCAATAAGGGAGAGGCAAGCTTTGGAATCTTCACAAGGAATTTGGGAACAAGCATTAAAAGGACAAGAGGGCTCGGAAAATTGGCATTAAAATATGGAAATAAATGGGAAGCTAAATGGATGCCAGGAACATCAAAATTGACCCCTTTTGAGAGTCTTTATGAGAAGGAGTTTGATTCTAGCATGAGGCAAAAATCTCAGTCCTGGGAACCACAGTCAGAACATGAACCCCAGCTGTATTTTAACTATGTGTATTTTGTGACCTAGGAGGCGTTTACAGACAACACCAGCTCTTTGGCTTAAAAATGGATATGAGCACCACCCCGCAGAGCCGGAGACAACTAGACTTAATGTCAAGGGGAAACCTTTATCATTACCTTTTATCTTGTATTTTAATAGTGTTTGATCTTTTTGCTTTAATGATGCTTTACCCTGCTTCAAGTCGCAAGGAAAAGTCAGTAAAAATGTGTTATCATTATTATAATAATATAATTAAGATCAATATTTTGGCACCAGTGTGCATATATGTGCATGTGCCTTGCTCTGATGCCAACAGAGTGGGATGTCAGATCTGTTGACTTTTAGGTGGTTAGACCAACAAAGAGTATTTCTAATAAATAGCAGTACAATATGCATTCCCGGACAACACCGAGCACATCAGATAGTTTTATATAAAGGACACCATTTTACCATACCACTGTATAAAATGGGATTGGAGCATCCAAGGATTTTTGTATCCTCAAGAATCAAACCACAGTGGACAATACATGGAAATAGGACAAGGAAAGGGCAGCTCTAAATATGTACATTCTCTTCCCACAGGGCTCTGGGGCTTGGTCAACAACGCTGGTATAGGTTTTCCTGCAGCACCCAATGGGTGGCTGACCAAGGATGACTTTGCCAAGGTGATCAATGTCAACCTGCTTGGTCTGATTGACGTGACATTGCACATGCTGCCCCTGGTGAGAGAAGCCAGAGGAAGGATCGTCAATGTGGCCAGTGTTATGGGAAGAGTGGCAGGCTTTGGAGGAGGATACTGTCCTTCCAAGTATGGTGTGGAAGCCTTTTCAGACTGCCTAAGGTAAGACTGTTGGTGCTTTTCCTTAGCCAGATAACATGGTGTTTTCCTCATTCCATTTGTTATCGAAGAAAGATGCAGGCCTCTTGAGCTACAATGATTTATTGCAGATAATATCTAGATAGCTGGTGTCCAGGCAATCTAACAAACCATATTTTCTCACTGGATATGCCTCACTTTCAGGCCAGATAAACTGCATCCCAAAGTACTAAAGGAACAGACTAATGTTCCCCTTGTCGTTAGTTTTTTTTTGAGAAATCTTAGAGAATAGGTGTCAGTTCCAAAAGACTGGAGAAGGGCTTCAAAAAGGGTTTAAAGAAGAAGAAGAAGAAGAAGAAGAAGAAGAAGAACCATTATTATTATTATTATTATTATTATTATTATTATTATTATTCAATCCGGTCATTGTTAAGACATGGTTGAAATGCTGTGGGCATCATTTATCTGAATTTCAGCAAAGCATTTGATGAAATCCTTTAGGATATTGTGATTGGCAAACTACCTGTATTTGCTCGAATCTAGAGCACCATCAAATGTAGTGCGCACCTCAATTTTCAAAACCCTGAAACCAAAGAACATTTTTGCTGGCACATGTTATCCCAGGACCATCCACATTTTAGAAACGTGGATGTTCCTGGGGGCCTGTTCACACACACACCAGAAAGCTGGCCTGCGAGAACACCTGGAAGCCCTACCCCCCTCCCCCAAAGGCCCCAAACCCCTTTTAAAAGTAAAGAAAACTTACCCGGCCTTCAGTACAGTGTTGCAGCAGTTCTCCCGTCGTATAGAAATGACGCGCCAGGAGAGCGGTTGGGGGGGGGGGGGGAGGATCAATTTCTATGCACCAGGAAAGCTGTTGCAACACTGTATCTGGTAGAGTGGGTGGGTATTCCCACAGTTTTCCGAACTAATTTCGGACTTGCTGGAAGGAATTATGGGGACTAAATAGTCCAAAGGCAATCACCTCAAACATAGAATTTAGAATCTGTGCCTGCAGGAATCTGGGGATTGTAGTTTAGGGTTTCCCATTCTCAGCAAGATAAGTCCTGGGCTCACTGAACTACAAGCCCAAGAACTCTGCAGGTTTTAAAGTGGGACAGGAAAGTCCTATCTGATCTTGGAAACTAAGCAAGGTCAGGGTTGGTTAATGTTTGAAAGGGAGACCCTTAATGGTAGGTTATATTTCTGGGGAAGGGGTTGAAGAAATCACCTTGTGAGGGCCCCTTGGGCAACAGCTTCTGCCTCTCCTCGCTCTCCCTGCCTCCCAGCTGGAAAAGACTGGTCTTGGAAGTTTCCCCAAGTCTTCCCTTTGGCTTCACCTTCTGACTCTCTCTCTCTCTTCTTCTTCTTCTTCTTCCCCTCCCTTCCTAGCCTGGCTTCAGAAGCAGTCTATATTCAAGCAGGGAGGCAGAAAAGCTTTCTTCTCAAGTCTTTTCCTTTCCTTTTCCCAGTGACTGTTGTATGTTTGCAGATGGTGCTCTGGAGAAACTTACTCTTTGACTTTGCCCCAGCACCATAATACTCAATACTAATGTACACCCCAGTTTTGGCCATGTGTTTTAACCCAAAAAGATGTGCATTAGACTCGAGTAAATATGGCAATTGAAATATGTATAACAGGCAATTGAGTTGAATTTTTTTTATAGCTCAGTGTCAGCCAATATGCCTGCAGAAAAAAAGTTTGCCTGTGCCTTTCTCTGAGGCAGTGTGACAACCATTTATTAATAACTTGGTTATGTACCCTGCGTTGTCCGGGTATGTACTTTTTAATGCTAATTATTAGAAATACTAATTGGTAGTGTTATAATTTTATGATTGCTAAGCGGCATAAGCTTGAGTGCATTTTTCAGGTTTTCTGAGTATTCACATTTAGTTAATTAGCAAAGTAATTTTTTCACATTAATGTGGTTTCTTAATAAGTCATCTTAAATAAGTTTAATTAATTGATATTAATTGAGACTACCCTTTTCTATAATATGATTTATGTGTACAACTGTTTGTTCAATAATTATACTGTTGCTTGGAAGATGGGGCGCTAAAAATCTATGACCCAAAGAGATTTCACCTATTTTAATTTCGGCCTCTTACTACTGCTGCATTCTTCAAGCCTGCTTTAAAGCAATCCAGCCCAAAGAGGAATGACAGAGTTATCTCTGCCAGCTTTCAATGAGCTGAGCAGAGGGACCAAAGGTGATTTTTGTGCATTACTTGGCTGCTTGCTCTTCCTCTTTGCCTTCCTCTTTCCCAATGCGCACAATTGGTGTCACCCCTCTAGTGATGCTACTTTGTGCTGCATGCACCCTCCATACCCTGTAGTGATGTCACTGCTACCACATTGTAAATAGAGGCATCCCCATATGAGGAACTCCACCCTGTTTTAGTTTTCAGATATTCTCAGTCAATCAGCTGCTTTCGTACTTTAGAAACTGTAAGGACCTGTTTGTTCTTCATGACAGAGGGTTTCTAAGAGAACTTGAAGTCCTGAGTTGCCCTTCAAAAACAGCCTTTAGACAATATTGAAAGTAAAAGAAAAATGCTTTACTTCAGTAAACACAAAGGATAAGCAAATGCAATTGAAAAGTGCAAAAGAAAGCAAGGAAATCTTCATCCAGACACAAATTAAAGTCTCTTACGAAGTCCCAAAAGAAACACCAGTCTTCCATCAGACAACGGATGATGAACTAAGATCTTAGCAGCAGACACAAAGCAAATTCCATTGGAGTGAAAACATCAGTATCAGGGTTGTTGTTACCAGTGGAATCTGACTGCTCTTGCTATTGATTTGTAGCCCTGAATTCCCCCCGCAGGAGGTGCTAGGGCGTATCCCAATTAGCTCAGTGTTTTTAGCAGCTATCCTAGCTGAATGCTGCCTGTGCTCTGTCTTTTTTCGTCTCTCTAGAAATATGGGCCCTTTCAAACCCTCATCATCTGATTTTTCTTCTCCCTCCAATTCCTGAGCTCTTTTCTGCCCCCTTTCCTCCTCCAAAGATGAAGAATCCTCAACACTTTGTAAAACAATCTAAAGTTTTTATATTGTTGCTGTGGGTCTAAAGAAAAGGCTGTTTCTCTCTCTCTAAATTCCCAATTCAGGCGAGAACTCCTTCCTTTTCAAGTCCGAGTCAGCATTATTGAGCCTGGTGCTTTTGCTAATCCAATTGTCACTACAGTACAAGAATACATGAAGGGTACATGGGACCGGATACCTTCTGACATCAAAGACGCCTATGGGAAACAATACTTTGAATTCTGTAAGTCAACATTCTGCAAGTCCTTTTCCTATCTCAATATTGTGGTAGGACACTGAATGGGGAGAAGCTGTGAAGCAACTAAAATGGGGCTTGCTGTCAGTAAAAGGTGAAGCAAGCAAGCCAGAAAAGAAATGTATTATATCATCACATTTAATTCTGCTATGTATTGGATTGTGGTGAATTGGAATGCAATGAATTGGAATCGAAAACAACAATTCCTGGTCAATAATTTCTCCTTCATTTCTTCAAAATCACACAAGATTCAAGTGTGGAAAAGCCACAACACACACACACATCACCATGACCTGTTAACCCAATGTGGATTGATCAGACAGAAAGAGGAATTATCTGCAGCTCAGTTCTACTGTAAGTGTTAATAGAAAGGACTCTCACTTATATAGGGGTATCTGTTTACATAATTCCTACTTCCTTTGTCCAACAGTTGTGTTGGACATACCTTCTTGTTTTCAACATTTCTTGTTGTTTTCAACATTCCAGTCCTATCTCAGGTCACTTTTGCCCAACATTGCTGTGTTTATTCCAAAAGGATCCCTTAATACATTTCCTCATGTTGTGGTGACCCCCAACCATAAAATTATTTTCATTGCTACTTCATAACTGTAATTTTGCTGCTGTTATGAATCGTAATGTAAATATCTGATATGCAGGGTGTATTTTCATTCATTGGACCAAATGTGGCACAAATACCCGATACGCCCAAATTTGAATACTGGTAGGGTTGGGGAGATTGATTTTGTAATTTGGGAGTTGTAGTTGCTGGGATTTATAGTTCACCTACAATCAAAGGGCACTCTGAACTCCACCAATGATGGAATTGAACCAATCTTGCCACATGACCAACAGAAAACACTGGAAGGGTTTGGTGGGCATTGACCTTGAGTTTTGGAGTTGTAGTTCACCTACATTCAGAGAGTACTGTGGACTCAAACAATGATGGATCTGGAGAAAACTTGGCACAAATACTCAATATGCCCAAATGTGAACATTGGTGAAACTTGGGGAAAATAGACCTTGACATTTGGGAGTTTTAGTTGCTTGGATTTATAGTTTACCTACAATCAAAGCACATTCTGAACTCCACCGGTAAAATTGGGCCTAACTTCCCTCACAGAACCCCCATGACCGACAGAAAATACTGTTTTCTGATAGTGTTTGGCTACCCCTATGGCACCCCCTCACAACACCCCCCCCCCCCATGGGGTCCTAGACCCCAGGTTGAGAAACGCTGTTCTATTTTTTTTCCAGCCTTTCCAGGTCCATTCATGCCAAACACATTTGATACAGATTTGCTCTCTAGCCTCTCCCTTCCGTCTAGCCAGCTTTCCCTCCTTAAAAGGAAGTTCAGCCTCAATGGTTTTTCAAGGATCTCCTTAGCACAGCCTTTCACAAACCACTGCTGTCCAGATGTTCTGAATGACATCCTCCATGGATCCTACCCTACATAGCCCATGGTCAAGGATTACAGGAGTTGTCAGACCAAGGCATCAAGATTGCTGGTCTGCAACGCAAATGACAATCATCAGAGAGCAAGACTAATTTTCCCTTTGTTTCATTTTTCTCACACAGATTGTAAAGCTTTTCAAGATCTCATTAAAGATGCCAGCTCCAACCTCTATCTGGTCACTGACTGCATGGAGCATGCCCTGACGTCCCAGTATCCACGCACACGCTACTCTGCAGGCTGGGATGCAAAGCTCTTCTACATTCCTCTGTCTTACATGCCAACCTTTGTGATAGACTATGTGTTGGCCCGCCTTTCCCCAAAGCCAGCACAGGCAATATAGCTTTGAATATGCTTTAATGGATTTTAACTATGACATTTTAATACTATCATTTTAAATGCTAGTTTGATGTTTGCATATTGTATATTTTAAATTATGTGATCATACTTTTAATGTAAGCTGCCTTGAGTCTCCTTTGGGAGAGATAAAGTGAGGTATTAATAAACATAATAATAATAATAATAATAATAATAATAATAATAATAATAATAATAATTTTTCCTGGAAAGATTTTAGAGCAAAATTGACAACAACAAAAAACCATGAATGTGGCTCAAAAATGTAACTTTGAAAAAGGAGATGGAGGGCCTGATTTTTGCAGCCCAAGAACAAACCATTAGAACCAATGCCATCAAACCAGAATTGAAAAGTCGATGACAGATCCCAAGTGTAGACTCTGCAAGGAAGCAGATGAAACAATGGATCACATCCTCAGCTGCTGCAAGAAGATCGTGCAGCGGGACTATAAGCAGAGGCATAACACCGTTGCTCAGATGATCCATTGGAACTTGTGCCACGAATGCCATCTGCCTGCGACAAAGAACTGGTGGGATCACAAGCCTGAAAAAGTTACAGAAAATGAAATGTCAAACTACTCTGGGACTTCTGAATTCAGACAGACAGAGTTTTGGAGCACAATACTCCTGACCTCACAATCGTGTTAAAAAACAAAGTATGGATCATCGATGTTGCAATCCCAGGTGACAGCAGGATTGAAGAGAAACAACTGGAAAAGCTGACACGATATGAGGATTTAAAGATTGAACTGCAAAGACTCTGGAACAAGCAAGGGGGTCCCAGTGGTGATCGGCACACTGGGTGCAGTACCTAAAGACCTTGGCCTGCACTTAAACACAATCGGCGCTGACAAATTTACCATCTAATTATAAGACATTCTTCCTGTGCCGTCAACACCCAGACGCTATAACGTTAAAACTAAGATGTGCTTCTCTCTTTATCTGGGTGAACTGCTGGGGGTTTTTCTTTGAAGCAATAACTCAATACTTTCAGCAACTGATGCCAGTCAAGATATGAACATCAACAAAATATTTATTTCCAAAGTCCTTGGCAGACTTGGCACAGCTTGATAAAGTTACAACACAAACAGTCAATTTGGGAAACCATAGAGATGTTCTTTCTTTCCTTTTCTTCAATTACTGAGGTAACTTTTCTCCAAATGGTAGAAAAAATCCTGGGATATTTCACCGTAACCCTAAGCTGCTATGGTTAGAAAGAACAGGTCTTCCCCTATCTAAGCACAAGGTTAGTTTTGGAGATGAAGTAATGCTCAATAGCACTCAATAACTATTTCTCTCTATTTCTCAATAAGCTTCTCTTTATCTCTATATCTATCTATAACTCAATCAGCTTCTCTGTCTAAATAACCCAATAACTCAATTACTCAATTCCTATTCTATCTATCTCAGTATCTCAATTGCTATTCTATCTATCTATCTCAACTGTACTCAATTGTACTCACAATGACTTTTCAGAGCTTTGTACTCAATAGCTCAATTCCTATTTTATCTATCTATAACTCAATAGTACTCACAATGGGTTTTTCAGAGCTCCCTGCCTGACCAACAGCACATCTGCGGTTCTTTTTCTCTACTGAAGGAGGCAAAGGGAGATTCCAAAATGGAGATCTCAACCCCAGGAAAAAGGGTGGACTCCTAACCCAAAGAGATACTTTCTGAACCAATAACTGCAGAGAGAGCCTGCAGTCTGGCTTTCCAGACTCTGATACTGTTTAACTTCCAGGGTGCTGCTGGGTCTATAGCAACCCTGGGGAAATGCAAAAGAATGCTATCCCATGCAGCTAAAAGGCAACATAAACCATGCTCCTGGAAGACGGAACAGGCCACTCTCCTTGGATCTGCATGCATTATTCGCTGATACATCACAGAGTCCTAGACACTTGGGAAGTGTTTGGTGTGTGATCCAATACAACAACCAGCACAATGATCTTCTTTGCTTGTTCCAATCTTGTTGTGTTTCAAATAATAATAATAATAATAATAATAATAATAATAATAATAATAAGCTTTGTGGTCATACAAGCAAGTCAACAAGCTATGTGAATGAGACTCAATTTGGGTTGCATTCTTCATGGTCCTTCCAAGATGTGGCCATAATCACTGGGTATTTACCAGGAAAATTGGATTTTTCTTCATTGATTTAAGACTATGAGGCATAAACCTAAGCTCCTGTTCTAGACAGAATGAAGCAGAGGGGACTTCTCTGTAGACTAGGTTGCTTTTTGGCCCAACCTCCTCAAATGACTTTGGCATGCTTAGGCAAGCAGAAGATTCGAGCAATAAAAAACTAACTTTTCCAAGCTGTATACCTGTTTTGATTAGATTTTGTTCCTATTCTTTAATTATCTGGTATAATTAGACTTTTTAAATGGAAATCTGAAGCTCGACAATTTTATGCTTTTTTTATGTCAAAAGCAACTTGAGAAACTGCAAGTCACTTCTGGTGTGAGAGAATTGGCCATCTGCAAGGGCATTGCCCTGTCTCGTGGATCCGAACCATCTACCTTGTATTCTTTATTACTAGCAATCAGTTTGCTGGTAAATGTTCTCTAAATTGCTTGCAGATGAGGGAGGAATAAAGCAAGACATTTTTATTGGTGGGGTAGAGATTGAATTTTTTTTTTATCATGTCAGAAGCAATTTGAGAAACTGCAAGTCGGTTCTAGTGTGAGAGAATTTGTTGTTTGCAGGGACGTTGCCCAGGGGATGCCATGAATGTTTTACCATCCTGTGGGAGGCTTCTCTCATGTTCCCACATGGGAAGCTGGAGCTAACAGATGGGAGCTCACTGCTACTCACAGAACCATCACCCAAGTCAAAAAAGAAGCACAATTACATCCCTGGCAGACTGTACAAAAAGAATCTTCCAAGATGACCTGAACCACCTCAACTGGCCTTTATAGGCAGTGGATACTCCAGCACAGACACTAGAAGAGCTGCAAGACTGAGAACAAGCCATGAGAGTAAAGATAAAGATCCACCCAGGAAAAGTGTTCTTGCCATACATCAAGGGAACCACTGACCACATAGGGAAACTGATGAGGAAACACAACCTATAAACAACCTACAGAAGAAAATCCAACAAATGCTCCATTCAGCAAAGGACAAGAGGGATCCTCTCGCCTCTGCAGGAGTCTACTATATATCATGCAGCTGTGGACAAGTCTACATAGGGACCACCAAGCGCAGCATTGCCCAGACATGAATCAAGGAACATGAAAGGCAGTGCAGACTAAGTCAACCAGAGAAGTCAGCCATAGCAGAGAACCTGGTGAACCAACCTGGACATAGCATATTATTTCAGAACACATAAATGCTGAACTACTCTAACAACCACCATGTCAGGCTACACAGAGAAACCATTTAAATCCACAAGCATGTGGAAAATTTCAACAGAAAGGAGAAACCATGAAAATGAACAAAATCTGGCTACCAGTATTAACAAAAACTCTAAAATCATATGAGTAAATAAAGAACAACACTCAAAAACAGGGAAACTCCAGTCAAGAAACAATCAGGGACAGCTAATCACTTCTCAACAAAGTATTCCCCCCAGGCAGTAAGAAGCCAACACCTTGAAGCTTCTAGGCCATTAAATGCTAATCAAGGTAACCAATGGAAACATTCACACCTACCTCCAGCAGACAAGAGGTTTTTCTCCCACCCTGTACACTCCACAGATATATAAAGCCCATTTTCCTAGTTTTCAACAGACCTCACAACCTCTGAGAATATCTGCCATAGATGCAGGTGAAATGTCAGGAGATAATGTTTCTCGAACATGGCCTTACAGCCTGAAAAACATCAACAACCCATTGATTCCGGCCATGAAAGCTTTCGAAAATACATATCTCAATATATTTACATGACACACCTACAAACTGCAGCTGACACACTAATGTGTCATAACACATAGTTTGGAACTTAGGTAAAGCTGATAGTTTCAAATTGTCAGCCCTGCATGCCAGGAATTTCGATAGTCCCTTATTGATATTTTGAATGCTACCTTAAAGGATGAGCTAGAGACATATCTTGAAAGAAATAACTCTTTTAAAAACCAATAGATTGGAAATAGTGGAATTCTGCTTTTGTTTCATGTCTCCCTTACAATTTAAATTACATCTATAATTAAACACTGTTAAAAGGTCTCTGGCTTTCTCTGCCATAGAAAGGCTAAACTACAACGTCCATAATTCCAAAGCAAGGAATCATTGCCATTAAAGTAGTGCTAAACTGCATTAATTAATTGCCTTTCGTCTGGAAAGGAGTTTTATGGGCTTCACTTTTATGGTAGCATGCAGCCTATGACAATTCTTCTTCCAATGTGACCTACAGAAGCAAAAGGACGGGCATCCCTGATTATTTACTTGTCCTTCTAGCATGAGATCATTTCTCACATGAGCACTCTACTTAACAAATTTACAAAATATTCCTTCAGTTAGTTTATGCTAATTCTGTTTAAAAGGAGGAGCTTTCTTCACTCCATAGTAGAGCTCAAAGTCCAGCTGCCCCTCAGCACAAAACTTCAAGAAGAGGAACAGAAGAAAAGAAGTTATCTACTCTCTCCACCCCAAGCTGGTGCTTGGAAGATTTCAATCATCCCAATCACAGGTTTGTCACTAATGCAAGTAAGCCCTATTCTCTGTAAATGCATGCTTGTTTAATGGCTGCAAGTCAGGGTCTGAGCATATTCCTTCAAGAAAAAGTTATGGGTGAAAGTTGCTTGTTTTGCAATCTGAAAGACAACCAGAAACTCAATTGCATCACTTTCCTCATACTTGCCATTTCCTGTTCATCTGTTGAATTTCTGGTTCTTGGCATTTCTTTTCAGATGCTTTTGGAGAAAACAAGGTAAAAAGGGGGAAGAACATTGGTTATAATGACTTTTGGCATGTTAATGCTGGGTTTATGGGCTTCATTTGCTGCTTTTGGGTCTGGACAGGTAGTTGCACCAAGAGTGAATATATCCCACCAAGTTAACTCGGAGGAGAACAACTAACAGGATTTGAAGTAAGTCTAGTTCAACAACAATATTTCTCTCATTCTTGTATCTTTTTGCCAGGGGAAAAATCTATCTGGATTTCAGGTTCAGATAGACTGACATTTTTTCCGATGCTTTTGGAGAAAGAAGCTTACAAGGTAAAAGGAAAAAGAACATCGTTTAAAAAGATCTTTGGCATTTTAATGCTGGGATTATATATTTCATGGAGCTGTTTTTGGCTCTAGAAATGCGGGTATCTCTCAGAAAAGATCACTTGGAGAAAAGCAACTAATGGAAATATGGTAGAAATAAGGAGGAGGGAGAGCAGTCATCAATGAGTGTAGGTGAACCAGGAAGGCCATCAAACAAGCATTGTTCTTGTGCATAAATGTTAACAGTTTGATTACCCCAAAAACAAAAAACCCAAGTAAAATTAAATTGCCAAAAATCACCTTCACCTTTTACTGGTGGTGACTACTCTGTGGTCTCTAAGGACCTCATGATACTGGCAACTGGGATCGCCACATATTGTGGCAAATCTGGCGTTGCCCCCCACTCCCTGCATTGCTCAACTCACCTGTCACCCTATCCCACAGGGGGAAGCGTCAGGCACCCAGCTTCCCCCCATTGTAGCTGATGCAACACGGGAAGTCTCTCATGTTGCCACAACAGCAGCATACACAGGTTCCGCAATAGTTTATCCACGGAACCCCACTGGAAGTAGTATTACATCATGGGATGGGAGTCAGCAGGCTCCATGGCTAGACTATGACTGAACTGGCGTATGCCACCAAAACAAGCCCTATCTGATGAGATCAAAAATAGCACTGGTGTCTGAAAGGGGAATTAAATTCCCTTGGTCCAAGAAATATCTACATCACTCCTCTTAAAGCGTTCCTTTCATCTTTTTCAAAGCCTTGCCTGCAACCATGTGGCTCTACCTGGCTGTTCTAGTGGGACTTTACTTACTCCTCCGATGGTACAGGGAGGGGCAGACGGTAGAGAACCTCAGAGAGAAATATGTCTTCATCACCGGCTGTGACTCTGGATTTGGGAACAAGCTTGCCAAGCAGCTGGATGCCCAGGGCTTGCGGGTTTTGGCTGCTTGTTTCACTCAGGAAGGGGCAGAAGAACTAGACAGGCTGACATCTGACCGGCTGAAAGTCACCATCTTGGACGTCACCAGCACAGAGAGTGTGAAGGCAGCAACCGAATGGGTGAAAGGAATCGTGGGGAGCAAAGGTGACTTCTTTTGTATTTTTTTCTGTGTAATCACAGATAGGGTCAATAGCAGGCTACAGGAAACATCTTGGTCTATATGTGTGCTTTTTTTGACAGCTGCTCAAAGATGAGCAAATGAAATATGTGTGGCCAGAAATAAAACAGAATTAACTCTTAAACTTTTCTGCTCGGGGTTGTTAGCAGTAGAAAATGGTTCAAGATGACAGAGCTACACCTCTCTCTTTCTTATATGCCACTTACTGTATATATTTGAGTATAAGCCAACACAAATATAAGCCGAGGCACCTAATTTTACCACAAAAAACTGGGGAAATGGATTGACTCGAGTATAATCCAAGGGTGGGAAATGCAGCTGCTACTGGTAAATTTCAAAATAAAAATAGATATGAATAAAATTACATTAATTGAGGCATCCATAGGTTAAACATTTTTGAATATTTACATAAAACTGCCCAACTCTGATTAAACCATTATTCTAACTTTCTTCAATGTAAATGTGCTTATGTATCCTTCCAATAATAATAAAGAGAATAAAATAATAAATGTGATGATGATGATGATGATGATGATGACGACGACGATGATGATAGAGTAAATCAATGGAAATGTAATAATAATGGTAAATGGTAATAGAGTAAAATGGTAAATGTAATAAAAATAATAATAATAACAGAGTAAAATAATAAATAACTTTGACTCGAGTATAAGCCAAGGGGGGATTTTTCAGCCTAAAAGCTGCAGAAAAACTAGGCTTATACTCGGGTATATACAGTAATCCAACAGATGCCTGCCAGTTCATATTCAATGGTTAGCATCCTGACCCATGTTATCTCCTTCACAACAAGTACTTTGACAAAGAGGTAGGCAGAAAACTAAGTAAATCCGAGTTAGGTTTAGCTCCTTCTGTGCTCAGGAGCATTTCATCATCAATTACTCAAAAACCATGATCATGGAGTTTGGAAAAGAACTAAGGAAATATAAGTGGAACATGTACAGCCATGTCATTGAGTGATGTAATTATAAAAATAAATATAATAAAACTTTATTTATATACCACTCTATCTCCCCTAGGGGACTCAGCACAACACATATACATTAAAACCAATCCCACCTTATTCTTTGTGCCAAGATTAGCTGTTAGGGCTGGAATTTCAGAAAGGACCTAGGCAATTTCGGTGACTGGGCCAGGGCTAGTGCCAAGTAAGACATAGGGGGCCCGGAGAATGGGTAAAGTGAAATAACCAGGCTCAACAATAACAATAATGAGGCCTGTGGCTGCTCATTTCCTGAGCCTATTGGGGAACTGACTGGGGTAAAAGGTGGGGGTGAAGGGCCAAATTCTAACTAGTGGCCACAGGCTGGAGCTCGTACTAGTCATTCTTGAAGACCTGGTAAAACCATCAAGTCTTCAAGCTCTTACAAAAAGAGGAGAGGGTTGGGGCCTGACTTATTTCCCTGGGGAGGGCATTCCAGAGACGGGGGGCCACAACCAAGAAGGTCCTCTCGCTGGTCCCCACCAACTGCACTAGTTACAGTGGTGGGCGTGAGAGAGGGGCCTCCCCGGTGGATCGTAGAGTTTGCACTGGTTCATAGAGGGAGATGTGATCACAAATACAGGTGGGGACTGAACCGTATCTCTTACATATATCTTATCAGCCATTTCAATGAAATTTTGAATTGGAAAAATCACTATGCAGCAATTAATCTGTTGAACTTAACATTTGATTCTCAGATTTCTTTCCAGTGGTTATGAATTGGTGGCACTTGGCTTTAAAAAACTTATTCAGAAGACGGTTGCTGAAATTGGATAAGTAGCACAGACATGGGAAAAAGCCAACATTGTTCCATTAGAACAGGGGTCCACAAACTTTTTAAGCAGATTGCCAGGTCACAGTCCCTCAAACTGTTGGAGGGCTGGATTATAATTTGAAAAATAAAACATGAATTCCTGTGCACGCTGCACATATCTTATTTGTAGTGTAATAAACACTTAAAAACATACAATAATTAAAACGAGGAACAATGTTAACAAATATAAACTTATTAGTATTTCAATGGGAAATGTGGGCCTGCTTTTGGCTGATGAGATAGGATTGTTGTTGTTGTTATGTGCTTTCAAGTTGTTTCAGACTTAGGTTGACCCTGAGCGAGGGCCGGGTAAATGACCTTGAAGGGCCGCATCCGGCCCCCGGGCCTTAGTTTGAGGACCCCTGCATTAGAATCACTCCAGAATGGGTTTATTGAAATACTTGCCCTATCTCCAAGAATACCAGTTGCACAACTGAAACAGCCCCTAAATAATAATAATAATAATCATCATCATCATCATCTTTATTTATAACACACCACCATCTCCCCAAAGGGGACTCGGGCCAGCTAACATGAGGCCAAGCACAAAATAATAAATCTAGTGTTAATATATAATATAAAAATGGTAAAAGTGTTAAAATATGTGGAAACAGTGCATAAAAGGGACTGCTCTGAATATGTCTCTTCTCTTCCCAAAGGGCTCTGGGGCTTGGTCAACAATGCTGGCATAGGTTTGCCTACAGCACCCAACGAATGGCTGACCAAGGATGACTTTGCAAATGTAATCAATGTCAACCTGCTTGGGCTGATTGACGTGACATTGCACATGCTGCCCCTGGTGAGAGCAGCCAGAGGAAGGGTTGTCAATGTGTCCAGTTGCTCAGGAAGAGTGTCAATTATTGGAGGAGGTTACAATCCATCCAAGTATGGTGTGGAAGCCTTCTCAGACAGCCTGAGGTAAAACAACTGTTCTGCTGTTTTCATTTTTCTGTAGCCAAAGGGCATGGTGTTTTTCCCACCCATTTGTGTCTCTAGACCAGTGGTTCTCAAACTGTGGATCCCCAGATTTTTTTGGCCTACAACTCCCAGAAATCCCAGCCAGTTTACCAGCTGTTAGGATTTCTGCATGTTGAAGGCAAAAACATCTGAGTACCCACAGCTTGTGAACCACTGCTCTAGATGTACATAGGTACAGGTGTCTTGAGCTAAAATGACTGATAAGACATTGGTCCAGGTTTTCTAACCTAAGGCAGTGCCGCATATGAGCCTCTGCTGAGCCTTGAAATCCACGGCAGAGGCCTTTTCCTTCAGCACCACAGTTTTCAGAAGCCTGATTGGTGGGATGCTTGAGAGGACTTCCTCCAGAGCTGCCCTGTATTCCAGAACTCCCTCCTTAAGGTAACTAGCCTGCTGATCTCTCTATCTTCAGCAGCCCATCCTCCAAAATACTTTTGAGAGCAGAAGACTTTTAAAGAACTTTTATGAGCATGCTAAAATATTTTAAAGATACTCTTTAAAAATATTTATTATTATTTTTATTTTTATTTTTATTTTTATTATTTTTATTATTATTATTATTACTATTATTTAACATATACATCTTAGACAACATTGAGCAACAATCAGACTGTACAGAAACAGAGGAAGTAACAAGGATACATTTTTGCACAATTAACAAAAGATGAGATGTTAAAGTAGAATAAATTGAAATACTAAACGCTAAACCTATAACAATAAGTTAAATAAACAGAAATGAAACTGTTTTCAACATTTTTAATTGTATGTTTTAAACTTTTTTAATGTTCTTAATCATTGAATCACATATCAATATGCTTTTATGTCTCATCTGTACTTATTTTAATTTGTGAAATGCCTTGATCCCTGTTTTGGTGGAAAGATGATATATAAATCATGTTAATAATATTTGTTTTTCTTCCAACAAATTGATTCCTGAAAGCTCAAAAATGCATGGTTGTGAGTTTTTTGGATCAGGGATCAGAATTGAATGGTGGAGATCAATAAAGGCATCAGTCCAACTGGAAATTTTCTAAAGCAGTGGTTCTCAAAGTGTGCTCCGCAGAGCCCTTGGGTTTCTGCAAATCACACTGAGCAGCTCTACGGTCCCCTCCCCCTCCGAGCTTTTCCTCCAAGCTATTCCTTGAAGGGAGATTGGAGTGACTATGCTAGAGTCCTAGACTTTAACCCCCAAATTCTTTTAAAGCTGCAAAAGGGAATCACAAGCAAATCTCATGGAAAACTCGCCTGACTTGCTGGAAGGAATTATGGGGACTAAATACTCCAAAGGCCATCAACAAAAAATAGGATGTAGACTCTGTGCCTGCAGGATTTTGGGGCTTGTCGTTTAGTGTTTCCTATTCTCAGCAAGAAAAGTCCTAGGCCCACTGAACCGCAAGCCCCAGAACTCTACAGGTTTTTAAGTGGGACAGGAAAGTCCTATCTGATCTTGGAAACTAAGCAATGCTTAGTTAATGTCAATGCTGGTTAATGTTAGAAAGCTAGATCCTCAATGGTAGTGATGCCACTGCTATCACATTATCAATAGAGACATCCCCATGTGAGGAACTCCATCCTGTTTTTCTTTCCAGATATTCTTAGTCAATAAGCTCCTTCCATACTTTAGAAATTGTAAGGACTTGTTCATTCTTCATGGCAGAGAGTTTGTAAGAGAGCGTTGTAAAACAATCTGAAGTTTTGCATTGCCACTTTGGGTCTAAAGAAAAGGCTGTTTCTTTCTCTCTTAATTCCCAATTCAGGCGAGAGCTCCTTCCTTTTAGAGTCCGAGTCAGCATTATTGAGCCTGGTGCTTTCGCTAATGCAATGGCCGATATAATACAAGAAAACATGAAGGTTACATGGGACCGGACACCTTCTGACATCAAAGACGCCTACGGGAAGCAATACTTTGAATTCTGTAAGTCAACATTCTGCTAGTCCTCTTCTTACCTCAATATGGTGGTAGGAAACTGAATGGGGAGAAGCTGTAAAACAACTAAAATAAGACTTGCTGTCAGGAAAGGGTGAAGCAAGCAAGCCAGAAAAGAAATGCATGGTATCTCAGTAAAACAAACAGAAGTATTGAGGGAGGGGAGCGTTCAGTGCCCATTTCAACATAAAGTTTCTTAATGCCATCATAAGTCTGAACCATATGGGAATCAAAAACCAGTCATCGTATGAAACCTGTGTTTTCCTGAATTTTGTAATGGAATTCTCCCCTCCAAAAAGATGCATATAAACATAGACATATTTATGAAATTATGTTTAATATACATTTTGTAGCGAGACTATTTATTTATTTATTTATTTGTCATGTCAGGGCAGCCAGTCAATTATATTACATTTCTAACAGCACAAAGCAAACAAACAGACAAATACAAAACTTGTGAGTTTGGTAGTTGATTAAATGTCCTGTGACCAGTATCTGGCCACTTGGAGTGCTTCTGGTGTTGCTACAAGAAGGTCCTCCATTGTGCATGTGGCAGGGCTCAGGTTGCATTGCAGCAGGTGGTCAGTGGTTTGCTCTTCTCCACACTCGCATGTTGTGGATTCCACTTTGTAGCCCCATTTCTGAAGGTTGGCTCTGCATCTCGTGGTGCCAGAGCGCAGTCTGTTCAGCGCCTTCCAAGTCACCCAGTCCTCTGTGTGCCCAGGGGGGAGTCTCTCATTTGGTATCAGCCATTGGTTGAGGTTCTGGGTTTGAGCCTGCCACTTTTGGACTCTCGCTTGTTGAGGTGTTCCAGCGAGTGTCTCTGTAGATCTTAGAAAACTATTTCTAGATTTAAGTCGTTGACGTGCTGGCTGATACCCAAACAGGGGATGAGCTGGAGATGTCTCTGCCTTGGTCCTTTCACTATTGGCTGCTACTTCCTGGCGGATGTCAGGTGGTGCAATACCGGCTAAGCAGTGTAATTTCTCCAGTGGTGTAGGGCGCAGACACCCCGTGATAATGCGGCATGTCTCATTAAGAGCCACATCCACTGTTTTAGTGTGGTGAGATGGGTTCCACACTGGGCATGCATACTCAGCAGCAGAGTAGCACAGCGCAAGGGCAGATGTCTTCACTGTATCTGGTTGTGATCCCCAGGTTGTGCCAGTCAGCTTTCGTAAGATATTGTTTCTAGCACCCACTTTTTGCTTGATGTTCAGGCAGTGCTTCTTGTAGGTAAGAGCACGGTCCAGAGTGACTCCCAGGTATTTGGGTGCGCTGCAATGTTCCAGTGGGATTCCTTCTCAGGTGATCTTCAGAGCTCGGGATGCTTCTCTGTTCTTGAGATGAAAGGCACATGTCTGTGTTTTAGATGGGTTGGAGATCAGCTGGTTTTCCCTGTAATAGGCAGTAAGTGCACCTAGAGCTTCGGAAAGCTTCTGTTCAACCATCTCAAAGCTCCCTGCTTGAGCGGTGATGGCACGATCATCAGCATAGAAGAAACTCTCTGTCCCTTCTGGCAGTGGCTGGTCATTTGTGTAGATGTTGAACATGGATAGAGCAAGCATTCTCCCCTGAGGCAGGCCGTTCTTCTGTTTCCGCCATCTGCTTCTCTGGCCCTCGAACTCAACAAAAAAAGCTCCTGTTTTGTAGCAGGTTTCCTATGAGGTGGGTGAGGTGGTAGTCTTTTGTGATATTATACATTTTTCTCAGGAGGAGGCAGTGGTTCACAGTATCATAGGCTGCTGACAGGTCTATGAAAATGATAATATCATATTTCATTACAAAATATTCGCCATTGCATAATAGCTTCTCTCTCACACACATCCACATCCACACACACCTTTTGAGATACTTTGTGCTCCCCCACATAGAAACTGCATCCTTAGTGAATTAAGGGTGCTCTTGCCTTTTTGGCACTATGGGGCTTGAGTTGGCTCTCAAGTCAAGCCAAGTGTGGGAGTGAATTCACTCCTCCGTCTGTCTGCCCTCATTCCCTTTTGGCTCTGCAGTACATGAGTGAAGTGTCACTTGCCACCAAGGCGTTCCCCTTTGGAGCTTGGAGGGAGAGGTGGGTGGATGTGTGACAAAATGATCCTTTTTAATTCCTTTATGTATTGGATTATGGTGAATTGGAATACACTGAATTCAAATCGAAAACAGTCGTTCCTGGTCAATCATTTCTCCTTTATTTCTTCAAAATCATACAATATTCAAATGTGGAAACACCACAACACAACACAAACTCACCATGACCTGCTAACCAAATGTGGATTGATCTGACAGAAAGAGGTATTATCTGCAGCTCAGTTCTGCTATAAGTCTCAATTGGAAAGACTGTTAGGGCCCTTCCACACAGCCCTATATCCCAGAATATCAAGCCAGAAAATCCTACAACATCTGCTTTGAACTGGGTTATCTGAGTCCACACTCAGATAACCCAGTTCAAAGCAGATACTGTGGGATTTTCTACCTTGATATTCTGGGATATAGGGCTATGTGGAAGGGCCCTCACTTATATAGGATACTTGCTTACAGAGTTCCTTCTTATTTTTGTCACCTTTATCCAACAGTCCTGTATTTACAACATCCCTTCCTATTTTCAATATTGCTGTCCTATCTCAGGTCACTTTTGCCCAACATTGCTGTGTTTATGCCAAAAGGATCCAAACTTAGCAGTTTTCTTTGTTTCACTTGCCAAGTCTTCACTTGTTTAACTCCATCTTCTATGGGTTTCGTCAGCTTTTCCAGGTCCATTCAAACTAAACGCATTGGTTACAGGTGGATGAGTTCATCTGCTCTCTAGCCTCTCCCTTCTGAGCTCAGGAAGGGAGAGGCCAGCGGGTGAGTGCTTTGAGGGCACAGCGGCATGGACAGGCGAAGCTTCACCCACCCACACATCTGTGCCCTCAAAGGGAGGCTTTCTTCACCATGGAATAGACACTACCGCATAACCAACCTCCTCCCCCCCCCAAAAAAAAAGTGGGGAAGGTCTGACTATTTTACAGTGAAATACCATATACTACAATTATATTTACCAAATACAAGAGTAATACATATTAAAATGACAATGCTTTCCATGATTAAAAAAAAATCAAAGTTCAAGATAACTGAAGAGTTTTAAACATCCATTTTTAAATTACCGACATCTTGGTATTCTTAACTCTCAGTGTGACACCATTCATACATTTGCTCACATAGGAGCTCCAGATCAATAATGTTTAAAGACATCTAGCTAGCTTTCCCTCCTTAAAAGGAAATACCCGATACGCCCAAATTTGAATACTGGTGGGGTTGATTTTGTCATTTGGGAGTTGTAGTTGCTGGGATTTATAGTTCACCTACTATCAAAGAGCATTCTGAACTCCACCAATGATAGAATTGAACCAAATTTGGCACACAGAACTCCCATGACCAAAAGAAAACATGGCAAGGGGGCATTGGTGGGCATTGACCTTGAGTTTGGGAGTTGTAGTTCATCTACATCCAGGGAGCACTGTGGACTCAAACAATGATGGATGTGGACCAAACTTGGCATGAATATTCAATATGCCCAAATGTGAACACTGGTGGAGTTTGAGGAAACCCCCCATGACTAACAGGAAATACTGTGTTTTCTGATGGTCTTTGGCAACCCCTATGACATCCCCCCTCAACCCCCCCCCAGGGGTCCCAACCCGCAGGTTGAGAAACTCTGTTCTGTGGGTTTCTTCAGCCTTTCCAGGTCCATTCATAGTAAACTGATTTGAAACAGGTGGATGGGTTCATCTGCTCTTCCGTCTAGCTAGCTTTCCCTCCTTAAAGGGAAGTTCAGCCTCAATGGTTTTTCAAGTATCTCCTTAGCACAGCCTTCCACAAACCACTGCTGTCCAGATGTTTTGAACAACATCCTCCATGGATTCTACCCTACATAGCCCATGATCAAGGATTACGGGAGTTGTCTGATCAAGGCATCAAGATTGCTGGTCTGCAACACAAATGACAATTATCAGAGAGCAAGACTAATTTTCCCTTTGTTTCATTTTTCTCGCACAGATTGTAAAACTTTTCAAGATCTCATTAAAAATAGCAACCCCAACCTCTACCTGGTCACTGACTGCATGGAGCATGCCCTGACGTCCCGGTATCCACGCACACGCTACTCTGCAGGCTGGGATGCAAAGCTCTTCTACATTCCTCTGTCTTACATGCCAACCTTTGTGGTAGACTATGTGTTGGCCTTTTTTTTCCCAAAGCCAGCACAGTCAGTGTAGCTTTGAATATATTTTAATGGATTTTAACTATGACATTTTAATACTGTTATGTTTAATTCTGTTTCATGTTTGCATATTTGTATATTCTAAATTATGTGGTCATACTTTTAATGTAAGCTGCTTTGAGTTTCCCTTGGGAGAGATAAAGTGGGGTATAAATAAACATAATAATAATAATAATAATAATATAATAATAATAAATAGAAAGAACTTTGCGGTTATACAAGCCAGTCAACAAGCTACGTGAATGAGACTCAATTCGGGTTGCATTTCTCATGGTCCTTCCAAGATATGGCCACAATCACTGTGTATTTACCAGAAAAATTGGATTATTCTTCATTGATTTAAGACTATGAGGCATAAGCCTGAGTTCCTGTTCTAGACAGAATAAAGCAGAGGGGACTTCTCTCTGGACTAGGTTGCTTTTTGGCCCAACCTCCCCAAAGGACTTTGGCATGCTTAGGCAAGCAGAGGACTCGAGCAATAACTTTTCCAAGCTGTAGATCACCTTCCTTATCTCAGCTGCTTTGATCTTCCAAGTTCTACTTGAAGGCACAAAGAGGTAAAAACACCGGACTCCTTAATTCAGCTTTCACAGAAAGCGGCACTTTATCTTTATTTACACAAAATATATACACTCCATCCCTCCATTCTCCGGTCATGTCCGATCACATCTTAACACACTGCAAGGAGGATGTTACACTGCTCAGGGCTCCTTTTCCGGTCTGCACGGGAAACTCCAAAAGTGTCACTCTACCAATTCTCCACATTTCTATAGTTTTAACCCATACATTTCTGAAATCATACAGTTTATAAGCAATTTTCACATCAGAAAACATTACATATTGACAGCATTGTTCTTTAATGCAGAGTGTCTGTTTACTTGGAAGAAACAACCTCCCCCCTAAAGTCAAGTGTATGCATTCCTAGGAAATGTGTGTCAGACAGAACAGTCCTAGGGCGAGTATAATGTTTTCATTCCACAAAGTTGGATCAATAATATAAAATGCTACATAGTAAATACAATAATTTCACCTTAAATGCCATGGTATATTTTCTACCAATACTAGAGGGAGTGTGTATTAATTGCTAGGGAATAGAAGTGGGGAGATTGCTGTTTCGGTTCTGCTTTATCCATCCCAGGAATTTTCTGATACCTCCCCATATTATCATATGCTTTTTACACCAGCTCTCTAGGTCTTTATATTTTTACACAGTATAAAACAAGGGTCCTCAAACTAAGGCCTGGGGGCCGGATACAGCCCTCCAAGGTCATTTACTCGGCCCTCGCTCAGGGTCAAGTCTTAAATGACTTGAAAGCACACAACAACAACAACAACAACAACAACAGCAACAACAACAACAACCAAAAGCAGGCCCACACTTCCCATTGAAATACTAATAAGTTTATATTTGTTAAAATTGTTCTTCATTTTAATTATTGTATGGTTTTAAAGTGTTTTTTGCACTACAAATAAGATATGTGCAGTGTGCATAGGAATTCATTCATGGTTTTTTTTTTAAAATTATAATCCGGCCCTCTAACAGTTTCAGGCACAGTGACCTGGCCCTCTGTTTAAAAAGTTTGAGGACCTCTGGTATAAAATGTGAAAGAACTGGAGCAAAATCAGAATTTTTCAACCGGTTTGGATGCACCTTTACTGCTGTCTCCCAGCTTCATCATTTAAAAACAACCCTAAAACTGCTCGTACTTACCATAACCTATAAGTTCGGACTTTGGTTCCCAACTTATAGGTCATGAAGCCCTTCAGGAGACATTTATTTTCTGTGGAACCATAATATGTTTAGTGAAAATATATATAATAGAATCATAGACTCATTACTTCAAGGGTCATCCAGTCCAACCAGGGGGTTAGCCTGGATGACCCATGAAGTCATGAGTCTATGATTCATGACTTCACCAAGAAGCAGGAAAATAGCGTTCAAAGCACCCCCGAGAGATGGCCATCCAGCCTCTGTTTAAAAGCCTCCAAAGAAGGAGCCTCCATCACACTCTGGGGCAGAGAGTTCCACTGCTGAACAGCTCTCACTGTCAGGAAGTTCTTCCTAATGTTCAGGTGGAATCTTCTTTCCTGTAGTTTGGATCATTCTATGCTAATTCCATTCTGGATCATTCTGTGCTAATTTAGATACATTTCCCTTTTTCCTATACTACATCTAGTTTTTGAATAAATGTTACTCTTGATACATTTTGAATAATATCACAGGGCTATACCAAAGGTCTTTCATCTTTCAACTGTACAAGAAAGTAAACATTTAAAAAAGAAATGAGAAATCAATGTGAAAAATGACATATGAATCACTCTTGTTCAAGTGGCAAATAAAATGTAGCCAGTAGCTACATGCTTGATAGCAATAGTTGAATATAAAATAGTTATTGCAGAGACTGTAATTTAAATAGCTGGCTTTATTTTAAAATTTATTTCCATTTTGATTTTTAAGATCTTTCACAGAACTTCTGTGATGTTTTTGCAAAACCCCCGAGATCCATGGAATCCCAGAGAACCACTGAGTTGGGGTTCTAATAAGGCAGTTTTGCAGTGATCCTGTGCCTGCTTTAAATTGTTACATCTCATTTTAGAGCTGGTTTTATTTTGTTTGTTGTTTAGGCTTTGAGCTTGAAAGATTGTTGCTCCGGGTTGTGGTAGGTTTTTTTGGGCTAAATGGCCATGGTCTAGAGGCATTCTCTCCTGACGTTTCGCCTGCATCTATGGCAAGCATCCTCAGAGGTAGTGAGGTGACCTCACTACCTCTGAGGATGCTTGCCATAGATGCAGGCAAAACGTCAAGAGAGAACAACCCAGTGATTCCGGCCATGAAAGCCTTCGACAATAGATTGTTGATCCCATAGCTTAGAAAATGCCAAATGAATAAACCAATGAATTCCCTTTGGAAAACTTGAAACGGATGTATGTGTTTTTCCCATGTTACTTGTATTTTTTTTTTTTTTTTGCTAGCAATGAAATTGCTGGTAAATCTCTACATTGCTTGCAGTGGGGGCAGGAATACAGCAAGACATTTTCATTGGTGGGACAGAAATTGATTTTTTTTTATCATGTCAGAAGCACCTTGAGAAGCTGCAAGTCACTTCTGGTGTGAGATAATTGGCTGTCTGCAGGGACGTTGCCCAGGGTACACCCTAAATGTTTTACTATCTTGTGGGAGACTTCTCTCATGTCCAAGCATGTGAAGCTGGAGCTGACAGATGGGAGCTCACTCCGTCTCGCAGATTAAGGTCAGCAGTCCAGCCGGCACAAGGGTTTAACCCATTGCATCACCGCGACTCTTATAGAGATTTAAATGAGTCTGAAAGGATGGAGCACTGGCCACCATAAAATAGGTTTCCTTGGCCGGGGGAAAGGGAATCATGAGTAATGGCAAAATAGTCCCCGCTTAAGGTGTTTTAATTCAAGACCATGTTGTGAAACTTAAAAAAAGCAAACAATTTCAGATGCAACTTTTTAGAAATAACAAAAACTTGGTCTGTAAGAAAATGAATATTCTGAAAATCCTACAATAATCGTCTAAATGGTCCATAATCTCTAATGTGCTGTGATTTCTGCATAAAGTTGTGTTGAAACTTCAACTATGTCACATTCAAAAGCCAGGTTTACTAAATTTGCTTTTTCCTGATAAACCATTGAATTCCTTTCTGTATTGTCAGCACATGTGGCTATGTTGAAAGGTCTTATCTTACTTGGCACAATAAATACCATTCTTGTCACATCTCATTGTAGGGGCTTCTTAGTTCGGTGGTTCTCAAGCTGTGGGTCCCCAGATGTTTTGGCCTTCAGTCATAACAGCTGATAAACTGGCTGGGATTTCTGGGAGTTGTAGGCCAAAACACCTGGGGATCCACAGGTTGAGAACCACTGTCTTAGGAGAAAGAATGTCCTGTTTTTCCATCTGTCTAGGAAAGGCATTTTAACCTTTAAAAAATATCATTCCAACTGTTCCGTCTTCCAGGAGCTTGGTTTGCATTGCCTTTTAGCTGCATGGGATAGCATTCCTTTGCATTTCCCCAGGGTCGCTATAGACCCAGCAGTACCCTGGAAGTTAAACAGTATCAGAGTCTAGAAAGCCAGGCTGCAGGCCCTCTGCTGTTATTGGTTTAGAAAGTATCTCTTTGGGTTTGGAGTCCGCCCTTTTTCCTGGGGTTGAGATCTCCATTTTGGAATCTCCCCTGCCTTCTTCAGTAGAGAAAAAGAAACTCAGATGTGCTGTTGGTCAGGCAGGGAGCTCTGAAAAACCCATTGTGAGTACTATTGAGTTATAGATAGATAGAATAGGAATTGAGCTATTGAGTTATAGATAGATATTGTGTTATAGATATTGAGTTATTAAGAAAAGCAACTGAGGTAAAGAGAAGCTTATTGAGATACTATAGTTATTGAAGAAATCTATTGAGTTATAGAGAAAGATCTATTAAGATATTGAGATAGTTATTGAGAAATAGCGAGAAATAGCTATTGAGTACTATTGAGCATTACTTCAGCTCCAAAACTGACCTTGTGCTTAGATAGGGAAAGACCTGTTTTTTTCTAACCATAGCAGCTCAGGGTTAGGGTGAAATATCTCAGGATTTTTTTCTACCATTTGGAGAAAGGTTACCTCAGTAATTGAAGAAAGGGGGAAAGAAAGAACATATCTATGGTTTCTCAAATTGACTGTGTTGTAACTTTATCAAGCTGTGCCAAGTCTGCCAAGGACTTTGGAAATAAACATTTTGTTGATATTCGTATCTTGACTGGCATCAGTTGCTGAAAGTATTGTGTTATTGCTTCAAAGAAAGACCCCCAGCAGTTCACCCAGATAAAGAGAGAAGCACATCTTAGTTTTAATGTTATAGGGTCTGGGTGTGACGGCACACCAACTGTCCCTTATCATAAGACATGTCCTTTAATTAAAGTTAGAAAGGTTACGGGCCTGGCAGCTGACCCTCATTAGATGAAATTTTCCCAATTGAAGGACTGGAAGAATTTGCCATTTATATAGTCTGAATCAGAGCCTCCTCCCCCAACCACATTTTGTGGTGTAGACCCCTGACAAGGACAGAAATGTGTGCAACAGGCAATTTATGAATGTGGAGAGTGTTAATTTTACAGGGGGTTTCATGCTTGGATTAACTCAAATCATTTAGTACAGGTCTTTCCAAACATTTCACGCTTTTTGTTTTTGGTGACACAATAATTCAGTTTAACCAGCAAATTGAATAAACCAACAAATTATAAGGCACACAGACAGTCAGGCACATACATAGCTTGTAATAGTGATATGTGTGGAAGTACAACATATCTCATGAAAATCTGTCATTTACAGTATATTTTTTTAAATATATGGTTTATTGATTATTTCACATAGATCCAAAGGTTTTTCAATATGTTTACATGATACACGTACAAACTGCAGCTGACACACTAATGTGTCTTAACACATAGTTTGGAAAGCTCAGATTTAGTATTTAAGTAGAACATCAACTTAGTTAAAAGCTGATAGTTTCAAATTGTCAACCCTACATGCCAGGAATTTTGAAAGTCCCTTATTGATATTTTGAATGCTACCTTAAAGGATGAGCTAGAGACATATCTTGAAAGAAGTGACTCTTTTAAATACAAATAGATTGAAAAATAGTGGAACTCTACATTTGTTTCATGTCTCCTTACAATTTAAATTACATCTATAATTAAACAGTGTTACAAGGTCTCTGGCCTTCTCTGCCAAAGAAAGGCTAAACTACAACACCTATAATTCCATAGCAAGGAACCATTGCCATTAAAGTAGTGCTAAACTGCATTAATTAATTGCCTTTCCTCTGGAAAGGAGTTTTATGGGCTTCACTTTTATGGTAGCGTGAAGCCTATGACAATTCTTCTTCCAATGTGACCCACAGAAGCAAAAGGATGGGCATCCCTGATTATTTACTTGTCCTTCTATCATGATATCATTTCTCACATGAGCACTTTGTCTACTTAACACATTTACAAAATATTCCTTCAGTTAGTTTATGCTAATTCTGTTTAAAAGGAGGAGCTTTCTGCACTCAATAGTAGAGCTCAAAGTCCAGCTGCCCCTCGGCACAAAACTCCAAGAAGAGGAACAGAAGAAAAGAAGTTATCTACTCTCTCAACCCCAAGCTCGTCCATAGAGGATTTCAATTATCCTGATCACAGGTTTGTCACTAAAGCAAGCAAGCTCTAGTCTCTGTAAATGCATGCTTGTTTAATGGCTGCAAGTCAGGGTCTGAGCATATTCCTTCAAGAAAAGGATTTAAGGGGGTGGGGGGAGAGATTGCTTGTTTTGCAATCTGAAAGACAACCAGAGAACGAATCAACTTTCAACCTGGTTTCTGCCTCCTGCAGAATTCTGGGGTTTGTATTTTAATGAGGCTGTTAAAGGCTCCTCCCTAAATCACAAACCCCAGAATTCTGCAGGAGGAAAAACCGGATTTAAAGTGGATTCATTCTCTAGTAGTGTGATGAAGTAACAGAAATTCAACTGCAACACTTTTCTCATCCTTGCATTTTCCTGCTAAGACTAAGGTTCATCTGCTGAATTTCTGGTTCTTGGCATTTCTTTTCAGATGCTTTTGGAGAAAAGCTTACAAGGTAAAAGGAAAAATAACATCATTTAAAAAGACCTTTGGCATGTTAATGCTGGGATTATATATTTAATGGAGCTGTTTTTGGCTCTAGAAATGTGGGTATCTCTCAGCAAAGATCACTTGGAGAAAAGCAACTAAAAGAAATATGGTAGAAGTAAGGAGGAGGGAGAGCAGTCATCAGGGAGTGTAGATGAACCAGGAAGGCCAGCAAACTGGCATTGTTCTTGTGCATAAATGTTAACAGTTTGATTACCAAAAAAAACCCAAATGAAATTAAATTACCAAAATCTATATCACCTTCACCTTTCACTGGTGGTAACTACTCTGTGGTCTCAAAGGACCTCATCATACTGGCATCTGGGATTACCACACATCATGGCAAATCCGGCGGTGCCCACCACTCCCTGCATTGCCCAACTCACCTGTCGACTTATTCTATGGGAGGGGAAGCGTCAGCCACCCAGCGTGCCCACAATTGAAGCCTCCCGTGTGGCCACCATAGCAGCATACACAGGTTCCACAATAGTTTGGCCACGGAACCCCACCAGAAGTAGTATTATGTCATGGGATGGAAGTCGGCAGACTCCGTAGTTAGAATATCGCTGAACTGGCATATGCCACCAAAACAAGCCTTATATGATGAGCTCAAAAGTAGCACTGGTGCCTGAAAGGGGAATTAAACTCCCTTGGCCCAAGAAATATCTACATCACCCCTCTTAGAGTGTCCCTTTCTTCCTTTTCAAAGCCTTGCCTGCAACCATGTGGCCCTACCTGGCTCTTCTAATGGGACTTTACTTACTCCTCCGATGGTACTGGGAGGGACAGACGGTAGAGAACCTCAGAGAGAAATATGTCTTCATCACTGGCTGTGACTCTGGATTTGGGAAGAAGCTAGCCAGGCAACTGGATGCCCAGGGCATGCGGGTCTTGGCAGCTTGCCTCACCCAGGAAGGGGCAAAAGAGTTGGAGAGGCTGACATCTGACCAGCTGAAAGTCACCATCTTGGACGTCACCAGTACAGAAAGTGTGAAGGCAGCAACCGAATGGGTGAAAGGAATCGTGGGGAGCAAAGGTGACTTCTCTTGTATTTTTTCTGTGTAATAACAGATAGGGTCGACAGCAGGCTAAAGGAAACACCTTGGTCTATGTGTGTGCTTTTTTTGACAGCTGCTCAAAAATGATCAAGTAAAGTTTGTGTGGCCAGAAATAAAACAGAATTAACTGTTAAACTTTGCTGCTCGGTGTTGTTAGCATTAGAAAATGGTTCAAGATGAAAGAGCTATACCTCTCTCCTCCTTGGATGCCACTAAATCCGACAGCTCTCTGCCAGTTCATGTTAAATGGTTAGCATCCTGACCCATGTTGTCTCCTTCACAACAAGCACTTTGACAAAGAGGGAGGCAGAAAACTTTGCAATTTTTATAGCATAGGATGTCGCTAGAGTAGCTGGACTGGAGTGTATGTTTGCATGGTCAAGATAAGAAGTACAAAAATAAACGCAAATCAATAGAAATGTAAACAGGTTTAATTGTCTTATCTATGTGAGGGCACTCTTGGACCTTTTTCCTCTGGAGGAATGTCAACATGGTCTTCAGATCCATTCTGCAGGGTGATAGAAGTTATCTCTTTTCAACTATTAACAAGGTTACCCAGAAAAGAGGGGGACCAAATGGACAACTCAAAGACAATGTTCCAATCGCACAAGGAGCCAAACGAAGTTGTATCTGACTCCATATCTATTCAATGATTTGTCACTAACAGACTTCAGAAATAGCATCACAATCCTTCCCCCCCAATCTTGAATTAAGCTTCCAGTTCACAGTGCAGATAGTGTAGATCTTCAGCCACTTAATCAGATAGGACTAAGCGAATCCGAGTTAGGTTTAGCTCCTTCTGTGCTCAGGAGCATTTCATCATCAATCGTGGAGTTTGAAAATGGACAAAGGACGCATGTGTAGAAATGTACAGCCACGTCACTGAGTGATGTATATCTAATATATATCTTAGTAGCCATTTCAATGAAAATCTGAATTGGAAAAATCACTATGAAGCAATTAATCTGTTGAAGTTAGCATTTGATTCTGAAGAATTTCTTTCTAGTGGTTATGAATTGGTGGCACTTAGCTTACAAAACCTTGTTCAGATGATAGTTGCTGAAACTGGATAAGTAGGAGAGATAAGGGAAGAAGGCAACATTGTTCCATCAGAATCACTCCAGGATGGATTTGTTGAAATACTTGCCCTATCTCCAGGAATATCAGTTGCACAACTGAAACCACCCCCATTGAATCTAGCATTAATATATAAAAATTCTAAAAGTAAGTCTTAAAATATGTCAAAACACTGCACAAGAGGGACTGCTCTGAATATGTCTATTCTCTTCCCAAAGGGCTCTGGGGCTTGGTCAACAATGCTGGCATAGGTTTGCCTACAGCACCCAACGGGTGGCTGACCAAGGATGACTTTGCAAAGGTAATCAATGTCAACCTGCTTGGGCTGATTGACGTGACGTTGCACATGCTGCCCCTGGTGAGAGCAGCCAGAGGAAGGGTTGTCAATGTGGCCAGTTGCGCAGGAAGAGTGTCAATTCTTGGAGGAGGTTACAGTCCATCCAAATATGGTGTGGAAGCCTTCTCAGACAGCCTGAGGTAAAATAACTGGTCTTCAGTTTTCACTTTTCTGTAGCCAAAGGGCATCGTGTTTCCCCCCACCCCTTTATGTCTCTAGACCAGTGGTTCTCAACCTGTGGGTCCCCAGATTTTTTTGGCCTACAACTCCCAGAAATCCCAGCCAGTTTACCAGCTGTTAGGATTTCTGGGACCCACAGGTTGAGCACCACTGCTCAAAATGTACCTGGGTACAGGTGTCTTGAGTAAAATGACTGATATAAACATGAAGTATTTTAATTATATTATTTTTAAAAGAGATTTATTATTATTATTATTATTATTATTATTATTATTATTTATTGTTATTATTTACTTCATTTGTATTTCACTTTTCTCCCAACAGGGACTCAAGGCAACTTACAATAACATAACACAATCAAATACAATTTTAATATCTTCCAAATGCAAACATTTAAAAAGTTTATATTTGTGCTGTGAATACAAGTTAAAAAACAGTTGAGATACAATTACAAATAGAATTTTAAAATGTATATAAAGCCACTAAGATTTTGCGGCAGTGACGTTGAAATTAATCAAGAAGATACCAGCTGGAAACTCTTCTCCAAACCAGCGTTCTTGTTGTCTGGCCATTGAGGCACCAGGATAGCCAGGCTTAGAGGATATTGAAAGGGTAGAGCTCTCTTCCCACATTGTCAACAAAAACGTCTCAATATAAGGAATTACTTTTTTTTTTCTTTTCAGAATTTTTCATTTCAGAAGCCCTTTTTATACATTAGAAACTTTAAGGGTTCTTCCCACTCACTCAATCAATCTAAAATATTTATACAGTAACTATGGATCTAAAAGAAAGGATGTCTCTTTCCCTCTTTTTTCCCCAATTCAGGCGACAGCTCCTTCCTTTTGGAGTCCGAGTCAGCATTATTGAGCCTGGTGTTTTTGCGAATCCCATTATCCTCGCAGGAATGGAAAGTGTAAAGAGTACATGGGACCGGGTGCCTTCTGACATCAAAGAGACCTACGGGCAGCAATGCTTTATTTCCTGTAAGTCAACAATCCAGAAGTTCTCTTGCAAATTGCAGCTATAGAAGTTGGAAGCTGAACAAGGAGGAGCTGTGAAATTACCTAAAATTGGACTTACTATCAGGAAAGGTCTAAATAGGCATGGGCAATCCATGGTTCTAAATGGTTCTAAAGTACTGACCAAACTAAAGTTCTCGTGGAGAAAACTCAGGGGCGCTGGTGCTTTGCTTCTACAGTGTTGCTAAAGTTCTGGTGGTAAAAATTTCAGAAGTCTAACAAAACTTTCAAAATGTCATTAATATTTCATTATTGGCAATTTTTTATGACAGAACCAATTAAGAACTGCCATTTATAATGAAATTTTGAAAGTTTTGTTAGACTTCTGAAATTTTCACCACCAAAACGTGAGCAACACTGTAGAAGCAAAGCACCAGCACCATCTAGTTTTCAGCACCAGAACTTTTGTAAGTACTTTAGAACCATTTATAACCATGGATTGCCCATGCCTTCTAAAAAAAAGGTTCAAAACTCTGCTGTCCTGTGAAATTTGCATTTTGAGTTGTCTCCTCACAAAAATTCACATACCCATGAAATTATATTGAATATGCATTTGGTATGGAGAGAGAAAATGATGATAACAGTATATTGTTAGACTTATGGGTCATCCTACCTATGTTTACTTGTAGTCTTGCTGGTAAATTGCTTGTTATATTATGTCTTGTTATAGATGTGAGTCATTACTCGTAGTTGCCGACCACCTTATCACCTGAAGAAGAGGAGTTGTCTTTTCGAAACAGGATATTAGAAAACCCAGGCATCCCTGTTGCACTGATATTGTACCTGCAACTGGATTTTTCACTCCTTGATTTCGAGGATTTTCATCCTATTTGGACTTTTACAGCTCTTTTGAATTTTGACTGACTCTAATCATGGAAACTTTGTTTTTGAGAGCCGTGCTCCATTATTATCTTCTCTATCTTGCATAATAGCTACGTGACCAACCGTCTGTTCACTTTTACTCCTTCTGGAAGATCTTTTCATTGGATTTGGAGCTCTGAAGCTTTCATACATGATATCAGACTGAGATACTTTCTGTTTGAGAGCAATTGCTCCTTTTTCATTGTATTTTTCATTTCATTGTATTGAGACTCCAGTGTTGAATTTGGTGACACTGCATCATTCTGACAATCTCCTGATCTATTTCAACCACATAGAAAAACAATTATATTGTTGGGTTTTTTTTTCATGTCAGGAGCAACTTGAGAAACTGCACGTTGCTTCTGGTGTGAGATAATTTGCTGTCTGCAAAGACATTGCACAGGAGATGCCTGTATGTTTTACCATCCTGTGGGAGGCTTTTTTCATGTCCCCACATGGGAAGCTGGAGCTGGCAGATGGGCGCTCACCCTGCTCCCCGGATTCGAACCTGTGACCTGGTAGTCTTCAGTCCTGCTGCCACAAGGGTTTAACCCACTGCACCACCGGGGGCAATAATTATATAGTGCCCACAAACCTGCTATGGGCATTTCTGTTCTAAATAATTGATGTTATATTTCGCTGACTTCTCAGTGTAAACACCCTTGTTACTTTCATTCAGATAGTAGTTCCAAACAAAAATTTCTTTAGAGATTGCTTCAGACTGGGATGTCTAGCTCACTTTTATTTCTTACAAGGAAATTCAGCCTCATTGGATTTTCAGCCTTCCTCAACCAACTGCTCTCCAGATGGGAGTTAATAGACCAAGATTGCCAGTCTGGGGCTTAAAGGAGGGTTATCAGATAGCAAGACTAATTTTCCCTTTGTTTCATTTTTTTCACACAGATTATAAAGCTTTGCAAGATCTTATTAAAAATGGCAACCCCAACATCTACCTGGTCACTGACTGCATGGAGCATGCCCTGACCTCCCGGTATCCACGCACACGCTACTCTGAAGGCTGGGATGCAAAGCTCTTCTACATTCCTCTGTCTTACATGCCAACCTTTCTGGCAGACTGTGTGTTGGCACGCTATAGCCCAAAGCCAGCACAGGCAGTGTAGTGCCTGTGGTAGAAAAGTTATTGTGTTTATAAAAGCCAACCAACAAATAGTGTTGCATCCTTCAGTGTCCATCCAAGATGTGCTCTCAGCCATTAAATATCTACTAGAAAAAAAGCAAAATGATCTCTCATTGATTCAAGACTATTAATCACTGGAGGTGTGCAATTCAGAAAAAAAAACCCGTACCATTTTTGGTGCCAATATTCAGTCGGCCCCCATTCTCATTTTTTGGGAACTTCCCTAATTCAGGGGGGGAGGGGGATACCGTTACTTGTGTCACCAGTGGAAAGTTCCATCCCATTGCTGACAATGGGGAAGATTTCAAGGCTCCCCTTTCTGTCATTATTAGAACTATCAGGACAAAAATGGCCAATTCTGGGCACCACAATTCAAGAGAGATATTGACAAGCTGAAATGTGTCCAGAGGAGGGCGACTAAAATGATCAAGTATCTGGAGAACAAGCCCTATGAGGAGCGGCTTAAGGAGCTGGGCATGTTTAGCCTGAAGAAGAGAAGGCTGAGAGGAGATACGATAGCCATGTATAAATATGTGAGAGGAAGTCACAGGAAGAAGGGAGCAAGCTTGTTTTCTGCTTCCCTGGAGACTAGGACTCAGAGCAATGGCTTCAAACTACAAGAAAGGAGATTCCATTTGAACATGAGGAAGAACTTCCTGACTGTGAGAGCCGTTCAGCAGTGGAACTCTCTGCCCCAGAGTGTGGTGGAGGCTCCTTCTTTGGAAGCTTTTAAACAGAGGCTGGGTGGCCATCTGTCAGGGGTGATTTGAATGCAATATTCCTGCTTCTAGGCAGGGGGCTGGACTGGATGGCCCACGAGTTCTCTTCCAACTCTTTGATTCTATGATTCTATGATTAAACCTATTCCACACTAAATCAAGTTAAAGCAAAAAATGGTAAAAAAAATATTTAAACAAAAACACTCAAAATGTCCTTTTAAAACTCACACACATGCACCCAAATGCACACCCACTCACACCTCCCTAGAGAAATTAGTAAAATGAAAGATGGACTATAAGGAAAGTATTAACTAAGAAAATTTAATGATATAATGCAGAAGAAAAAGATAGTAATTTTCAAAAATTCATCCTAAGCAGCTACTGCACTGAGATAGAACACAGAGCTAGTTAGCACACAATCTCTCTCAAATGCTAGGACGCCACAGAAAAATGGAGGAGCTCACCCTGGTCTATATAGACCAGCTTGACAAAGAGACATGTGATCCACTTTCTTGCTCTGATTGGCTCAGGCAAGGCTAAGAGAAACACCGCTAGCTTGCGGCTGCTGCCACGGCGCAGCTGAAAGCAATCAAAAGCAGCCACGTGGTTGCCACATGGTCCATTTCGGCCAAGTCAATTCAAGCCCCGTTGCCTGTCCCATGTCCGGAGGTTCAGTTTCCAAAACTGCCAAAATGGATCTCGTTTTGAAAAACAGTACTGTGCAGACCCCTATTAATGATGCACCTAAGCTCCTGTTCTAGACTGAATACAGCAGAGCTGACTTCTGTGTAGACTAGACTGCTTCTTAGACCCATCCCTCCAAATCTCATTGCCATGCCTAGTCAGGCAGAGGATTTGATAAATAAAAAAGTAACTTTTCCAAGTTGTATTGCCAGATGTAGATAGATCTTTCCCAGTTCTTTAATTAGCTGCTCTAATTGGATTCTTACCAAAGGAATTGAAAACCATATCAGTTTTATCCTGAGATTGAGGAAGAAGTACTGGTCTTTAAAAGAGAGTGCATGCTTACTCAAAAGTAAGCCATCCTGGAATCAAGACAATATGCCAGAGGAATATGTGCCCTAGAGTGGGTATTAGGTGGTGGTGGAGCCACCACTGCCATACTGGTGTGTGAGTCTGAATGTTTTAATTCCACACAAGTTGGATCAACAATCTAAAATGCTAAAACCATACTATCATTTCCTCTTTAATGGTATACATTCTGCCCAGTACTAGAGGGTGTGTGTTAATTGCTGGGGGATAGGAGTGGGGAGATCTCTGTTCTTGTTCTTCTTTTCCTCCAATTGTAATAGAGGCTGATAAGTGTACTCACAAATATGAAAGCTAACATTTAGGGGCTCTTGAAACCAAGGACAGGTGAATGTCTTTCATCTGTCTCCCTTTCCGTCCTACAGTGTGTTTCCTGATGTAACAAACCTACATTTTTGTTTTTGTTTTACCTTTAAAGAGCCCCTGAATTAGTGGTTCTCAACCTGTGGGTCCCCAGATATTTTGGCCTTCAACTCCCAACTGAAGAATGAGAAACGTAATGTTGGTGGACAGGAAAAAGGTTTAAGGATGGGCTTAAAGCCAGCCTTAAAAACTGTGGCATAGACTGTGAGAACTGTGAAGCCCTGGCCCTTGAGCACCCTAACTGGAGGTCAGCTGTGACCAGCAGTACTGCAGAATTCAAAGAGGCACGAATGGAGGGCAAAAGGGAGAAACCAAGAGGAAGGTGTGTCAAGCCAACCCCAACCGGGACTGCCTTCCATCTGGAAACCAATGTCCTCACTGCAGGAGAACATGTGGATCAAGAATAGGGCTCCACAGCCACCTACGGACCCACCACTAAGACACTACACTTGAAGGACCGTCATCCTCAGGCTATGAGGGATCACCTAAGAGGAGTCTTGAAGGCTTTCAATCAACCCAATCACATATTTGTCATTGAACAAAGCCAGCTATATTCTCTGTAAAATGTATGTTTTGCTTATTGGCTGAAAGCCAGGGTATAAGCATATTCCTTTAAAGAAGAAGACTCATGCGGGGGGGGGGGGGTTGCTTTGTTTTGCAATCTAAGAGACAATCAGGAATTCAACTGCAACACACTTTTCTCACCTTTGACCGTCCCTGCAAATGTCTGGTTGGACAGCAATCCTTCCCGCATCCTTGTCCCTTCTTGCCAGGAGTAAAATCTATCTGCCGAATATCTCCTACAACAGCAATCCTTAACTCATCCAGTACCTTCCTGCAAGGGGTAAAATCCATTTGCTGATTTACAGCTTCTTTTCAGAAGCTTTTGGAGAAAGAAGTTGACAAGGTAAAAGGAGGGAAGAATATCAATTAAAAAGATCTTTGGTATGCTAATGCTGGGCTTATATGTTTCATGAGCTTTTATTGTTTGTTTGTTTTTAACCTATAAATATAGTTGTACAAAGTGCAATTGTGACTATCACCCAGAAAAGATCACTTGGCGAAGAGCAACTAACAGAAATAGAAGTAAAAGGGGGGTGGTCATCAGTGAGAGTAGACGGACCAGAAAGGTCAGCTAGAGCTAGCATTGTTATTGTAAGTGAATGATAGCTGTTTGACTGACAAAATGCACAAGTAAAACTTTTCAAGACAGGAAAAATTCTGGTAAGCCTCCCAGATATAAGACTAAACAGTTTTATTTTATGCTTATCAGATTTTTTTTCCAGTTCAGTTATTCTGGGCAAAATATAACATCTAAACATAACACTCTCCCCCCAAAAATGAGAACAACTAATATAGAGATTACAGAGATAGCAGAACTCACAAAACGTATATGAAGAAACATGTCTATTGCTTGTAAATTCGAAAAACTCCTAATGAACTGGTGGGCCGAGCAAGTTTGCTCACTTTACACAATGCAATAATTAGTTAGTCAATACTTTCTTTAATGGTTTGGTTCTTTCTTGTACCAACTGAGCTTAACCCACTGCGTTTTTGTATTAATACCAAAGGGTATCCCATAATTATTTATTAATTTTAAATGTTCAGACTAATTAGAATGGATTCTGTAAGCCAGGAGAGTCTAAGGAGAAGAAAGACTAAAACTGGGAGAAATGCATCTGGTAACTCTGGTTCTACACAGCAGAAACTAGAAGAAAACAGCTGGAATGCAATTAAAGAGCAGGGATTAGGGAGCAATTGGCTTTTTCTGCTTATTCCCTGTTAGTAGGTAAAGGTTTTCCCCTGACATTAAGTCCAGTCGTGTCCAGTCGTGTCCGACTCTGGGGTGTGGTGCTCATCTCCATTTTTAAGCCGAAGAGCCAGTGTTGTCCGTAGACACCTCTAAGGTCGTGTGGCCGGCATGACTGCAAGGAGCACCATACCTTCCCGTCAGAGCGGTACTTATTGATCTATTCGAGCTGCTAGGTTGGCAGAAGCCGGAGCTGACAGCGGGTGCTCACGCCGCTCCCTAGATTCGAACCTGTGACCTTTTGGTCAACAAGTTCAGCAGTTCAGCGCCACCGGGGGCTCCATTATTCCCTGTTAGGCCTGTTATACTTTCTACCCACCTTCAGTTCAGAAGGTAGGATATTTTCAGAAGTTTGCTGAAGTTAAAGCTAGACATTTGAAAACAAAATTCATTTACCAAAATAATCAACTTTCACTGGTGGTGACTGTGGTCTCAAACTAGTACTGGTGGCTGAAAGAGGAATTAAACTCACTTGGTCCAAGAGATGATTGCTCCTTTCTTTCCTTTCAGAGCTCTCCCTGCAACTATGTGGCTCTACCTGGCTGTTCTGGTGGGGCTTTACCTCATTATCCGATGGTACCGGGAGAGACAGACTGTGGGGAACCTCAGAGATAAATATGTCTTCATCACCGGCTGTGACACTGGCTTTGGGAACAAGTTAGCTAGGCAACTGGATATTCAGGGCTTGCGGGTCTTGGCAGCTTGCCTCACCAAGGAAGGGGCAGAAGAACTAGAGAGACTAACATCCAACCGGCTGAAAGTCACCATCTTGGACGTCACCAGCACAGAAAGTGTGAAGGCAGCAACCGAGTGGGTGAAAGAAATCGTGGGGAGCAAAGGTGACAGATCTCATTACTTATTGTGTTTTTTTCCTGTTTTGTGTGCCAGTAGGGTGAGAAGTATAACTGATGGATTTCCATCCTGAGAGCAGATGGGCAAATTGTGGCCCTCCAGGTGTCCCAGCCAACTTACCAGCTATTAGGAATTGTGAGAATTGAAGTCCAAAACAACTGCATTCAGCTTTCTTTCCCATCCCCACCCCTTGCATTAAGCAAGGTTCCAGTTCTGATATACATGGATTATGTCATTCTTCTGCCACTTAATCAAATAAGACAGTGACATTTAGGGCCTTCTGCATCTGATCATTAATTACCCTAAACCAAGGGAAAGGACAAAGAAAGGTGGCTGCTAAAGAGCAGAGAAATGGGGAAGAGACAACATTGCTCGATTAGAAGCACTTCATAATGAGTTGATGAAAATAGTTGCCCTGTCTCCAGAAATACTATTTCACAGCTGAAACAGCCCCCATTGAATCTAGAGGTAATATATAAGATAGAAATTGTAAAAACAAGTGTTCAAGTTCAAGTTCACTTTATTATGGTCAATGACCAGCTCATGAGAAGAGGGACATGACCCTCCATCTAGACAACACCAATGACAAGTCCACACCTCAAATAACTTAACACGAAACCTAATTCTAATACTTAGATAGAACTCTATAAACTAGAAAACAAAATAGACCATTTCCAGGAGACCCCTACTGCTGCCTTGTTGAGCCCCTCGCCCATGGAAAATAGCTGCAGGAAGACAACAGGCAACCCTAATGCGAGTACCTTCGACAGGGATGACAATGCCCTAGTGGAGATCCTCAGAATCTCAGACACTAAGGAACAATACAAACCACATCTAAGCAATCCAATAACCCAGACTGATTATTCCCTGATGCAGAAAAAGTTCATTTCACAGGGAAATCAGGTCTCCTCACCTCCTTTCTCACTCGACAAGAGTGGCGCTGCAATTCCCACAAAATAAAGTGTTTAAATATGTAGAAACAAGTCACAGGAAGGACTGCTCTGAATATGTATATTCTCTTCCCACAGGGCTCTGGGGCCTGGTAAACAATGCTGGCATTGGTGGTTCATCAGGTCCCAACGAATGGCTGACTAAGGACGACTTTGCCAAGGTGATCAATGTCAACCTGCTTGGGCTGATTGATGTGACGTTGCACCTGCTGCCCCTGGTGAGAGCCGCCAGAGGAAGGATCGTCAATGTGGCCAGTTCATTTGGAAGAGTGACATGCATTGGAGGAGGTTATAGTCCATCCAAGTATGGTGTGGAAGCCTTCTCAGACAGCCTAAGGTAATCAACTGCCCTGTAGTTTTTGCTTTTCTGTAGTCAAATGGCATGGTGTTTTTCTTTCACTTAGGGGGTGCTTTGATTGTGATTTTCCTGCATGGCAGAAAGGAGCTGAACTGCATAATGGGGTTTTTGTTGTTGTTGTTGTTGCAAAGGCTGGGTGGCCATTTGTTGGGGGTGCTTTGATTGTTGGGGGTGTTTCCTGCCTGGCAGAAGGAGGTTGGACTGGAAGGCCCCTGGGGTCTTCCACTGAAATACTGTTAAGTTTATGTTATTCTTCATTTTACATGTTATATTGTTCTTTCCTATACCCCCCCCCTTTTTTTTTTTGCACTCTAAAGGAGATATGTGTAGTGTGCATAGGGATTTGTTTGTGTGTGTTTTTTTTCAATTAGTTCACCAAAAAAAATTCCATCAATCTGCCACTGTCCCTGGCCATCTGTGAAATTTTAAAACACAATGGGGCAAAAGGTTTCCCCATGCCTGATGTATATATACATTATATACAATATATAATATAATATAAAATAATATAATATAATAATATAATATAATATAAAAACATTTATTGGGGCTCCACGAGAAACTTTTGCTTCAAAAAGGGTTGAAAAGGTTTGGAAACCCTTGCCCAAGAGAATACAGGTGAGAAAGACTCCCTCTCCCCAGCATTCCAGTTTTCTGGCTGTTGGTATATATCTAATAGTACCCAAAAGCACCAGGACAGCTTGGTTTAGAGAATATTGAAAGAATAGACCTCTCCATAGTCAATACAGACATCTCCATGTGAGGAATTCTATCCCATTTTCTTTGCAGATGTTTTCAATCAAGAGACCCTTTTTTACAATAGATACTTTAAATTGGGGCTTCTCAATCCATCTAAGATATTTGTATTGTGACTTTGGGTCTCAAAGAAAGGATGTTTCTTTCCCTCTTTTTTCTCAATTTAGGCGCGAGCTCCTTTCTTTTGGAGTCCGAGTCAGCATTATTGAGCCTGGTGGTTTTGCTACTTCCATTGGCCTCACAATAAGAGAAAGCATAAAGGGTATGTGGGACCAAGTATCTTCTGACATCAAAGAGACCTACGGGCAACAATACTTTGAATCATGTAAGTCAATGTTCTGGAAGTTCTCGTGCAAATTGCAAATATGGGAATGGGGAGGAGCTGTGGACTTACCTAAAATTAGGCTTGCTGTTTATTTTTTAACCCAGAGTGTAGCCACATTAAGTGGCTTGAGTCAGCTCACACCAGCATGTGTACATTGTGTGGATACACACAGGCTATTGCAGATCCCCATACTGCATTAAATGGCAGTATAGAACTACCCTACACCTAAGAGTGCTTACCTCTTGCAATCTGGAAATCCATGCATCCATGCATACTCAGCATGGTGTTGAATTTGAAGTGAAACAACATATTTCTTACAAGTGTCTCACCTTCATTGCCCTCCTCAGACTGGGAACTCAAGTACTATTTTGCCAAAGTGTTGTCAAAGGCTTTCGTGGCCAGAATCACTGGGTTGCTGTGAGTTTTTCGGGTTGTATGGCCATGATCCAGTCAGGAGAAAATGCTACTAGAACATGGTCATAAAGCCCGAAAAACTCACAGCAACCCAATTTTGTCAAAGCTCATGGGTGGATTTTTTTTTTCATTAACGTTTCTCAAAATTATCAAATAGGGTGAAAAAATGAGACATTTTACTAACATGAGAACACACAAATATGAAATATCAACAATGTAGTAATAAAATTATATAACATTAAATTTCCACAAATGAGCTATGGACATGTCTGTTATGAATGACTGGCATTTTATTAACAATGCTGTATTATGATTATTGCAGAAATATTTTGGTATATGCCAGGCATTGAATATTTGCCTTTGTATTTGTAAACCACCTGAGTCTCCCGGGGGAGATAGAGCGGTCTAAAATAATGATGGTTATTATCATTATTATTATTATTATTATTATCATTATTATCATTATTATCATATTATTTCTCATTGTAAGCAATCTTGGTGCATTCACTCATATTCTTTAGATATTGTTTCGTGTTGGGACATCTAGTTAGCTTTTCCTTCTTACATTGAGTTTTCAAACATCTCCTTAGTTGAAACTCCCTCAACTCATTGCTATGCAGATATTTTGCCCTGCATCCTCATGGACCCTACTCTCCACATCCAGAAGTCAAGGATTATGGGAGCTGATAGACCAAGGCCTCAAGATTGTGGGCCTGCTACTCAAAAGACAATTGTTAGCAAGCAAGACTAATTTTCCCTTTGTTTCATTTTTCTCACACAGATTATAAAACTTTACAAGATCTTGTTAAAGATGCCAACCCCAACCTCTGCATGGTCACTGACTGCATGGAACATGCCCTGACATCCCAGTATCCATACACACGCTACTCTGCAGGCTGGGATGCAAAGCTCTTCTACATTCCTCTGTCTTACATGCCAACCTTTCTGGCAGACTGTGTGTTGGCACGCTTTGGCCCGAAGCCAGCACAGGCAGTGTAGTGCCCGTGGTAGAAAGAGCTTTGTGGCCTTTTGAGGCAACCATTAAGTAGTGTGAATGGGACCTAACTTCAGTTGCATCCTTTAGTGACCTACCAAAATGTGTCACTAGATATCTATTAGGAAAACTGATACATTTTTCATTAATTCAGTACTATAGGTTCCACATCCACATGTTTTAACATGTGTATTCTATGGAGTGTTACATGATTGTGTTTTGATTATGTGTTTTAGCAATGTTGTAACTCACCTTGAGCTGTGAGGAGAGGTGGATAATAAAATAAGAATATATACAATAATAATAATAATAATAATAATATGTCTACTGATTTCATTTTCTCTCTCTTCTACATCCTTTACTTCCTTTTGAGTGTATTTGAAAATGAGGAGACACTCTACAATTCCCTGCTTTTTCCGCCATTGAGTCACATGAGTGATCCCAGTGGCATGTATTGATCAGTTAGATTGTATTTGTATGTGTATATCTCCCTATCCTTCCTTTTAATCGATTCATGTGTTTGTGTCCGTATAATACAGCATCTCTCCAGGTTTGGCTTTGAACTCTTGTTTTTTTCCCTTTCCCCATCCAGGCTTAACTCTCTCATCTGTGTGTCCTTTTCCAGTATTGCTTTAATCTGATATGCTTGAAATAAGTACAAATGCATGGCATTTTATGGGAATTGATCTATGGATAAATAAATGCCACTGGAGGATGCAAGGGAATAAAATGTCATGCTTGTTCATAAAACTTATTTAAGCTGGAAGAAAGATATTGGTATCTTGATCTTAATGGTCAATTCCAAAAAGGCAGGATCAATTAGCTGCCTAAACTGTAGGGAAGATCTGACAAAAAAAAAAGATTTCTAAACACTATGGAAATCAGGTCAAGAATAATAAAATAAAGGCAAGAATGGTATGCATTTTCCCAGTATATCCTTAAAATAGATTATAAACACACATGAACACTCTATCTACTCATAATCTGGAATAAAAGGGATAATAAACTCTTGAGGAGATTTTAGGAGGAACAGGACATCTTGAGTCTTTCAATCACTATGTTTCAGTCATGACTGAGTGAATGAGTCTTCTTCTAGTGGCAGTCTAATACCTACTAACTTATGGCAAACCTGCAGATTTCATATGGTTTTCTTGAGCCAAGAATACTCAGGGTGGCTTTTCCAGTTCCTTTTTTCTGAAATATTCCCTGGTATTCATTAGCTATCTTCCACTCAAATACTAGCCAGGACTGAGTCTGCCTATCATCTGTCAAGGTTTTGGACGTGCTCCTGAGTAGATGGAAGAACCTGAGATAATCTCTAATGCCACCCTTTGCTGATTTTATACTAACTATTTCCCAGTACTTCAGTGGGAAGTTGATGAGGGGTTTACTTGGACTCTGGAAAGATGTTCCTCTCCCTTTTCTTGGAAATTCAAAAGCGTATTCACACACAAGTGCATAAAGGAGTGAGGAGGAAGGAGATCTTTTTTTTAAAAAAAAGCTTTCCCTTTAAGTAGGTAATCCTCACTGGCATTAGGGTATTTTTACATGAAGACAACTTTCCTAATGGCATCCTTCAAAATAGCTGAGAAGGTATAAAAACTGTCTAAGGACCTCATCCCATGAGCATCAGGAAAGCAAGCAGAACCCCATCTTCTGGGATGACTAGCCATCCCACTTGCTTACCTTATTAATCCCCGTCTTTCCCAATTTTCTGCCTCTTGGAGTTGGGTAAAACTTGACTCCTGAAGACTGCTTCTATGCTCTGTTACCATGCACTGTGGAAACAGAGCCCCACAGAGTCCCACCAGAGTCCTCACATCATGTGATGGTCTCCGTGGGGCTCTCATGGGGCTCCATTTTCCAAGTGCATGGAAATGGAGCCTAGAAGCTGTGGGGTGAAGTCCTAAGTCATATTCAGCCAAGGAAGCATTAAAAAAGAACATTCCTATCTACTCACAATAAATGACAATGTTTTGAAACTGGAATGTTCATATTGGAAAAAGGAAGGGGAGTATGAACTTTTTGCCCAGCCTTGAACCAAACAGGACAGTTGTCGCAACCCCAAGCCTTTCCTCCTCCTTTTGGTGTGTGTCTCAGTCCAGTGACTCCTGAGACTTTTATAAATTCTCCTCAGCAACATTCCTTAAGGAGAAGTGGAAGTTTTTGCCTTCCACTTCAGCTGCTTATCTCATTAGACCAGCATCTCTTATTGTTCTCCTATGGGAATAACGACAATAAATGTAACTTAACCCAACACCCCATTCACCTTTTGATTAAGTGGAAGAGAGACTACCCTCTTGGCTATGTTGCCCAAATGGTTGAAAGGGCACATTATGACAGCTTCCAAGATCAAATGGGATCTAGTGTCCTTGGAGTATAACCATTTTTCCTCCCGATCTTCTTACACAGACCATACATGTTTCCAGTCCTGCAGCATAGCGTCATTTCTTTCCAGATTTGGCTCCAATGTTGCTCCTTCCCATCTTGTTTAAATTCTATCACCAGTTTATTTTAACACTGCCTTCTTTTCACATCTTGCTTTCATCTGGAAGAATTAAATAAACACATACATCAATGTAGACTTAAGAACAGAATAGCTGCCATTGGATGGTGCAAGAGAATTGGGAAGAAAACCTTCAAAAATAATCTTGGGGTCATAGAAAAATCTACACACATAAGGAGAATATTTGGGTATTGGTTTGAGTGTCTAAATTCAGAAAAGTTGAATCAAACAATGAATAGAAATCAGGTGTCTCTTCCTCCAACTTTCCCCCTTTATCCTCAGTTAGCTCCGATTGATGCAAACTGAGTTCAAAATGCAAATGCTGCACCCTCCTCCCCACAATTATTTATTTATTTATTTAGTGGTTTTGTATACCGGTCTTCTCACCTCCGTTCGAGGGACTAAGGCCGGTTTCCAACATCAATATTACAGACAGTCATTAAAACATCATATTCTAAATCACACTAAAACATTAAAATAGCAAAATACAATCATATAATTACAGTGGTCAGTCGTCAGTCTTCATCAAAAATCAAAACCAAGAAATGCCACCTGAATGCTACAGATTCAGAGCAGTGCCAGCATTAAGGCAATTCTTTTGAGAGGGAGCTGCCTACAGGCAGTTATACCATACAAAGTTCAATAATTATCCCTCCACATATAAAGAGAGCAGAAAAAAGAAAGGGATCAGAAAAGAAAAGCAAGGCTCAATTCTATCCACCACCTCCAAGAATTTGGAGTGTTTCATTTAATCAAGAAGAGGTTAGTCACTGACACAATCTTCTCGATTTTCCACACATGAATGTTTTATTTAATACCCCAAAACCAGTGTATGTGTAGAATATAATTAAGAATGAGGCACAAAATCATTTTAATGACTAAGAGGCCTACTCAGTGGTTGCTTCCTGCACAACTTTTCAAGATATGACAATTCCTTAAGAAAGAATTTGACATAGTAAAGTCTCAGAAATCTGAATTCATTAAATATCCCATTAGATCGGGGCTTCCTGAAAGGCCCTGGTCTAATGGGGTATTGGGACTGACTACCGAGTAGTCCCCATAGCCATTTTGCACTTTTGTGCTCCTGGAATCCAAAGGTGTTACGTGGCACCCACTCCCTCCCCCAAAGCCTCCCCCACCCCAATTAGCCTTAATATTTTTTAAAAACTTACCAGGCTGCTCAGGCAGTCTTCCTGGCACAGCATTTCCACACTCCAGGAGGACTGCCAAAGCAGCTTAATTTATTTGTTTGTTTGTTTGTTTGTTTGTTTGACTTGTATACCGCCACTCCCAATTTAGCTCGGAGCGGTTTACAGCAGTAGATTAAAACAATACAACCAACTTTAAAATACAATAAAAACGAGGACATAGTCCCGAGTTATTCACCCATCGAAAGCTTGTCGGAAAAGAAAGGTTTTACAGGCTTTCCGAAAAGGAAGTAGCTCTCCTTTTCGGAAAGCCCATTAAGTTTTTTTTTATTTTAAGGCTAGATGAGGAAGACGGGACTTCTGGGTGTCTGGGTGTCTGCCTGGGTGCATCTAGACAGCCCCTGGGAAAGCCCAGGTTTTGAGAAGGAGGTGGACCCCAATCTGCACCAAAGAAAACATTTTAAACCAACTTTGGTGTAGATTTGGGTGCTGTCTGGAAGTGCCCTCATTCACAATGGTGGTTCTGAAGCAAATCTAAACAAATTTAAACCAATCTGCTTAAGGATGCCTCTGAACTGTGTTCAAAATACCGTATATTCCAAGATATAAGACAACTGGGTGTATAAGACGACCCCCTACTTTTCCAGTTAAAATATAGAGTTTGGTATATACTCGCCGTATAAGACTACCCATCTTCCAACGCACACCAAATAAAAAAATTAAAAGCATCAGATTTGATTTCAATATGATAATTTTCCTATTACTGTACCTCCTTCTCTGCCTCTCAGATCTTGCACATGTGCACCTGCACCGCTTCACTGCAGTCTTCAGGAGTGAGATCTGAGAGGTAGAGGAGGAGGTATGGACATAGGATACAAGGGCGGGCCAGAAAAGTAAAAGAGGTTTGTTTTTCTGGGCCCAGAGCCACTCTATCTCTTTTTTCAATACCCCAAGTGCCCCAGATGCCTGCAGCTTGCTCCGCCCTTCACTTACACCTTCACGGTGAGGTGCCCCTTCATCTCACCATTGGGACAGCGTTAAGTCCACGAATCATGATGAATGGATTTTCTTTTACCATACTTGTACAGCGTCGCCCTTAATGCTTTCATACAGTCACTGCATATGGCAGGGATGCGGCCACTGCCATTTTTGAGCTTCCCCCACAATATGCAGCAATCACAGATTCTCTAATCCGGATTGGAAGTTTCAGCACCCGCTCTATAAGACAACTCCCAGTGTATAAGACTACTCCCGCATATAAGACGACTCCCATGCATAAGGCTACTCCAGCGTATAAGACTACTCCCATGTATAAGGCTACCCCCACGTATAAGATGACTCCCGCGTATAAGACGACCCCTGACTTTTGAAAAGATTTTCTTGGGTTAAAAATTATGGTGCCTTTTGTAAATGTTCATTACATCTGAAGGATAGGTAGTATTTATAAAAGGCAAAGCCAAAAGAGATCAATGTTTTATTCTTCACTGTTTGATTTGGGGGCCTTGTCTCTTGAAGTAGTGCAGAACATCTGAATTTTGCCCAAGATTTAAAATAGAACTGCATTTAATAGAAAACTGTGTCTATGCTGCTCTTAGCTGAAGTTATTGTGTGTGAATGTATCTTTCTTACCAAGAAATATTTCCTGGAACAAGTACAGAATTCCTAAGGAAAATCCTTTGGAAGTATCTCTCTTACTTATGAATTGAACCCTAAAGTTCTTCCAACCTACTCCTTCATCAGAGTAAAACATTTTTAATGAAAGAATGCAGATGTATTTACAATATGTGATTTACACTCAGTTACACCAGTATCTTGCTCTATGTGATATTGATGGTGCAAAATAACATTGGCTTAGAATGATATTTTGCATGTACATATTTTTTCTTTGCCTCCATTTCCCTCACACCCTTGAATGCTACAGATAAGTGCAAGTGCATTCGTTGACTGTTTGCTTGAGCAAACTCCATTGAGAGGGAGGAGCTGCCTGCAATCAGTTATACAACTCAAGATTCAACGACTGCTGCTCCACGCACAAATTGTTCAGGAAGGAGGGGAAATACCAGAAAACCACCACCATCTGAAGCTGGGAGCCTTCCATTTAACCAAAAAGAGGTTAGTCAATGATATCCAAAACCCTTTTCTCTGCAAATGCATGTTTTCTTTAATACTTACAAACCTGGGTATAGACACAGATGGGATACACAATCCTTTTACAAATAGCTGGGAACTTTGTTTCTTTTGCCATTTGAGTGAGAAGTAGAATTTCAACAAGTGGCACTTCTTTCGTCGCTGTAAAATCTTGCCAGGAAAAAGCTTTAACTGCTGAATGTTGGCTTCTTTCCTAAATTTTCCAGGCATAGCAGCCATTTCAGAAACTATTTAATACACAAAAAAGTGTTCAGAACATGTTTGAAAGTCCTTTGCTAATGCCTTATTCGTTTCATGAACCCCTTCTGAACCTTGAAATGTAGTTATAGCAAGGGTGGTGGTGAATAGGTCCCAGCCAAGTTCACTTGGAGGAAAGCAATGTGTAAAAAAACTCGAGGGAAGTATATGTTGGGGTGAAGTTTTGGGTGTGGATCTGCCGGGGAAATCAGCCAACCACTCTGGCTCCTGTCGGTGCCAGTTAACAGCTTGATTGCAGAAATCAGCAAGTGAGATTTTTAAGGACATGAACTTAAATACTGAAATCCTTCCAGATGTATAATGAAACAGTCAGGACCAGGTGACCTTTGATTTTATGTCATTTTTTCCTAGTACAGTGAGTTTGAACAAAACATAATTTCAGCACAACTTTTTTAAAAATCCTAGTCCAGCTACTATAAAGATATTTTAACCCTTCTTCCTTCTATTATGCTTCCTACCTGCCCTTTTATTCTATTGGTGAAATACTTGTACAGATTTGGTGAGGTAGCAGCTGTGACATTGAAGCCAAAAGATTTGTTTACCAAGAACCATGTCTTCCATTGTTGCCAGAGTGGATGAAAGGGAACTTGACCTCCCTTCTGGCCCAGACCAAGAAAAGGCTATGTCCCACCTCCTATGCTGCTTATTTCTTCCCTTTCACAGTCTTGCCTTCAACCATGTGGATCTACCTGGCTGTCCTCTTGGGGCTCTACTTCCTCCGCCAATGGTACCGGGAGAGACAGACTGTGGAGAAACTGACAGAGAAATACGTCTTCATCACCGGCTGTGACTCTGGATTTGGGAACCAGCTCGCCAGGCAGCTGGATGACAAGGGTCTGAAGGTGCTGGCTGCCTGTTTCACCCAGAAAGGGGCAGAAGAGCTGGAGAGGGTGACATCTGATCGGCTGAAAACCACCATCTTGGACGTCAGCAATACAGAGAGTGTTGTAGCAGCAACTGAGTGGGTGAAAGGAATTGTGGGGAGCAAAGGTGATAGAGCTTCACATCTCTTCTCTTGTTCTCTATGGATCTTAGTTGGGCAAGTGACATAAGAGCTTGACTTCAAACATTCCCAAGAACAGCTATGGTTCCTAACTGGGAAAAAGTGGGGAAATCCTCTTGTGCCTTTTAAAACACCAGCTAGGTCTGAGAAATCAATGGGGGAAGCTTTGACTGGCCCAAAGAAAAACAGGATCAATTCCTGTAGTCTCCGATTGAACTGTCTTTTTGGATAGAACAGGAAAATTGTTCAGAATAAAAGAATTTCACCCTCCCTCCTCCTAGGATTCTATTCAGTTACTATAATCCCCGCAGCTATGTGTAGGTTCATATCCAGTCATTCAATCTTTATCACAGTCCAAAGATCCAATTTGTTCAGGGGAGAAAGTGCACAGCAGATTCATAGTGTGGTAGGTATTACCAGGGCAAGATAATAAAGAGGGAAGTAATGCCTTGCATAATAAATAAAGTATTGAAAAGCATATATATAAGCTTGAAACACAAACGAAATATGTTCTACATGCTAATTAATGGGTAATTACCATATATGCTCAAGTATAAGCCAACCTGAATATAAACTGAAACACCTAACTTTATCACAAAAAACAGGGAAAATGTATTGACTCTAGTATAATCCAAAGATGGGAAATGCAGCAGCTACTGATAAATTTCAAAATAAAAATAAATACCAATAAAATTACATTAATTGAGACATCCATAGATTAAATGTTTTTGAATATTTACATAAAACTGTAATTTAAAATAAGACTGTCCAACTCTGATGAAACCATTATTCTAACCTTCTTCAGTCTAAATGTGCTTACATATTCTTCCAATAATAATAAAGAGAATAAAATAATAATAGAATAAAATAATACATGTAGTAATAACAATAATAGAGAAAAATAATAGTAGAGTAAAATAATAAATGGAGGAAGAAGAAGGTAAAATAATAAATAACCTTGACTTGAGTATAAGCCAAGGGGGGCTGAAAAACTCTGCTTATACTTGAGTATATACGGTATTACTTCCTTTAAAAAAGCTCAACATATTTCAGCCTATATAAGAAAAGACCTTCTTCAGGGGCATTCAACAAAAATCTCTGGAGTTGGAGACAACACTCTCTAACAGGTTAAACCTATACAGCTTTCTTACCACAGGGTTATGCTTCACAGATAGTGATTACAAGTATATTTGTGACTACATAGATTTTTCAGGAAGGATAATAAGAATCCAATTGTCAAAATATAGAATAAAAGGGACAGCTCTGAATATGTGAACTCTCCTTCCACAGGGCTCTGGGGCTTGGTCAACAATGCTGGTACCGGTACTCATGTAGCTCCCAACGAGTGGCTGACCAAGGATGACTTTGCAAAAGTGATCAATGTCAATCTACTCGGTCTGATTGACGTAACGCTGCACATGCTGCCCCTGGTGAGAGCAGCCAGAGGAAGGATCGTCAATATGTCCAGTATTGGAGGAAGAGTGATAATGTTAGGAGGAGGTTACTGTTTATCCAAGTTTGGGGTGGAAGCCTTCTCGGACTGCATAAGGTAAACAAAAAAGCCTACCCTACAACTTTCTGTTTCTTAGCAAAGTGGCATGCAAAAAGGAAATACGCAGATACTCCTTTTCTATTGTACAATCATCATCACCATGTGAATCATCAAACTACGTAGACTGATAGAATACAAAATACATTTATTTAAGTCAGTATAGCATACAGATCATATGTTGTTATGATATTACAAGTTTTTTTTTAATTTTGAAGCAATAGCAGTACATTTATTTTCTACTGACACCAGCTCCACTCAAAATTGCTTCAGGCTCTTAGCGTAGCTCCACGGGTCTGCTCTTAAGAATAATCTTGCAATGTATTCATTTTAACTTTGTTTATAATGCAAATGATGTTTTTTCCCCTTTTTCCAATGCAGGCGAGAGCTCCATCCTTTTGGAATCCAGGTTAGCATTATTGAACCTGGTGCTTTCATGACATCTATTGCTGTAACATCAGATGAAGGCTTGAAGAGTGTATGGGAAAAGGTACCTTCTGACATCAAACAGTGCTATGGACAGCAGTACCTTGATGGATGTAAGTCAACTTTCTGGATGTTTGTTTACAAGCTGAATATATCTGTGTGGGAAGCAGAAAGGCAAGAAGCTGTAAAGTCCTGAAGTCAGGGCTGCTGTGATGGAAGGTTTGAAGAGGCTTGTTGCCAATAATCCAGAAAAAGAAGGCTGTCCTTAAGAAATATAGAAAAGTAACATGAAAAGTCCTCAATACTAATGAACAGGAAATTAGTTCAATATATGGGTCTTATTAGTTGTTTATTTGTTCAGTCACTTCTGACTCTTCGTGACCTCATGGACAAGCCCACGCCAGAGCTCCCTGTCAGCCATCACCACCCCCAGCTCCTTCAAGGCCAAGCCAGTCACTTCAAGGATCCCATCCATCCATCTTGCCCTTGGTCGGCCCTCTTCCTTTTTCCTTCCATTTCCCCCAGCATAATTGTCTTCTCTAAGCTTTCATGTCTTTTCATTATGTGCCCAAAGTACTTCATCTTTGTCTCTACTATCCTTCCCTCCAGTAAGCAGTTGGGCTTTATTTCCTGAAGTATGGACTGGTTGGATCTTCTCGCGGTCCAAGGCACTCTCAGAACTTTCCTCCAGCACCACAGGCCTTTGTAGTAGTCCACAGTATTCGCAGAACTCTTTGCCAGCACCACATTTTAAATGAGTTGGTTTTCTTCCTATTAGCTTTCTTCACTGTCCAGGTTTCACAACCATATAAACTGGAAATTCAGTGGTATGGGCAATCCTAACATTAGTATCTTTGCACTTCAGGATTTTGTTTAGTTCCTTCATTAGCTGCCCTCCCAAGTCCTACTTTTTTTCTGATTTCTTGACTCCAATTTACATAATAATTAAGACAACGTATGGAACATCATAGAATCACAGAGTTGGAAGAAACCACCAGGACCATTTGGGCAACCCCTTGCAATACTAGGAAATACACTCAAAGCATTCCTATAGATGGCTATCCAGCCTCTGCTTTGAAATCTTCATAGGAGACTCCACTACCCTGCAAGACGGCATAGTTCACTGTCAAACAGCTCTTGCCACTGTGAGCAGCTCTTAGCATCAGGAAGTTCTTCCTAGTGTTTAGGTGGAATCTCTTTCCTTGCAATTTGAATCAATTGTCCTAGTCTCTAAAGCAGCAGGATCAATTTGAAGCTCTCCACCAGGAAATGTTTGGGTGCTTCAGTTTTGCTTCTGATTCCATTTATTTATTTATTATTTATTTATTTATTTACTTTATTTCTATACCGCTTTTCTCAGCCCTTAGGCAACTCAAAGCGGTTTACACAACAATGCAAAATATCACAAAACAGTATAATGCAATTAAAACAGATTATAACATCAACAATTAACAACAGTATAACAATCATAAGGCCTAGATGTACGCTATTTCATTTCTATATTGACTATCAGGTCATTTGTATGTATATAACCACTTCTAGATTGCTTGAAGAATGTGTTTGCAATGAAAAAAAGGTTGGCATTGCGAATTTCGGTCAATATGAACCTACACGTAGCTGGGACTCCTCTTTCCTTTCTTGAAACTAGGCCAAATTTTCCAATTGTCTTTTGATTCTGGTGTTCCCTAGCTTTGCAATTCAATAACCTATGATTGCGTTGCTCTTTTTTGCCTGCTTTTGCTACAGCCCCCTGGATCTTTGGACTGTAATTAAGATTGAGTGATTGAATATGAACGTACACATAGCAGGGACTCCTCTTTAGTTTCTTGAAACTAGGCCAAATTTTCCAACTGTCTTTTGATTCTGGTGTTTCCTGGTTTTGCAATTCAATAACCTATGATTACATTGCTCTTTTTTGCCTGCTTTGTGCTACGGCCCCTTCAAATCATTCCTGGCTCCTTTAGTTCACTCAGCTCATGCATTACAATGATTATTTGTTCTGTTTCTGGTTTTACTATATAGCCCCCCCCCCCCCCCCCCCAGATTCACTCTGATTCATTCTTATCACATTCCATGTTCCTAAAATCCATGTTGTCCAAGAGGAGTCCCACTGACCGAAATTTGCAATTTCCTTTCACCTCAGATTACATAAAAACCTGAACAACCTTTCAGTTTGAGTCCATGAATGTCCCCGTAGAGTTTAGATCAAAATCATTCAAACATTAGAAAGAGGAGGACAAATTTACCTCTCCAAACAGGAAACTTTGACCTAAATCTGCTAGTTCAAAACAGAGTAAACCCATTGGATCAGAGGAATATACAGTAGAGTCTTGCTTATCCAACCTTCACTCATCCAATGTTCTGTATTATCCAACACAGCCTGCCTCCTGCCAAGGTCGACAGCTGTTTCAATACATTGAGATGTTTAGGTGCTAAGTTGTTGTAGGTTTTTCAGGCTGTAGGCCATGTTCTAGAAGTATTCTCTCCTGATGTTTCGCCTGCATCTGTGGCAAGCATCCTCAGAGGTTGTGAGACCTCCAACCTCTGAGGATGCTTGCCACAGATGCAGGTGAAACATCAGGAGAGAATGCTTCTGTATTATCCAATGCAGTCTGCCATCCACCCAGATCCACAGCTATTTCAATACATTGCAATGTTTTGGTGCTAAATTTGTAAATACAGTAATTACTATATACATGTACTGAACTGCTTTTTCTGTTGACTTGTTGTAAAAAAAACATGATGTTTTGGTGCTTAATTTGGAAAATCATAACGTAATTTGATGTTTAATAGGTGTTTCCTTAATCCCTCCTTTTTATCCAATATTTTTGCTTATCCAACGTTCTACCGGCCCTTTTATGTTCAATAAGCAAGACTCTACTGTACATACATATTGATTCTGTGAGATTACTCTAGTTGTGATCGATATTTTCATTTTGTCTTTAATGTGCTTCGCTCTTTAACATTTGGTGTCCAACCCTGTATATTAAGCAATGTTGGCAGAGTTGCTACCATTTATTGTTGATAGGCTCCTCAACTTAAGCAGCTATTTGGTGGGAATAACTTTCAGACTGGGAAGAGATGTTCCTGTTGAATTTGACTAAACTAGATTTTTTTAAAAAATGTTTCTAATAAAAACTCAGAATTCTATTTTTTCTTAAAATGGGACGAAAGGAATTTGATGATTTTAAGATCTGTGCATGGAAGAACAAAAATCAATTTTCATCCATCCCAACTATTTATTTAATAACAACTAATTAAATAACATTCAACATGCACAAACATCATTTCTTTGATTTGACCTCTTATTGTAAATGTTCAGTGCACTCAAGAACAGACTAGCTCCTAACCAGCAAATGTTTGAGATTACTTGAGACTGGCATATGTCTAATAAAGCAGTTCAGTTACAGGCCTATCTTGTATGGTCAAGAATTAGGGTTTCCTGACTCTGTTTTTCAGAAAGAATTATTAACATCTCTTTGCTTCATTTCTCTTCCTTACAGACTGCCAAATATTTAAAGATATCCTCAAAGCAGCCAACAAGAACCTTCACCCAGTCACTGACTGCATGGAACATGCCCTGATATCTCGCTACCCTCGCACACGCTACGGTGCAGGCTGGGATGCAAAGCTATATCACATTCCTTTATCTTACATGCCGACCTTCATAGCAGACTATATGGTGGCCGTCACTATGCCAAAGCCAGCACAAGCATTGAGATGAGTTCACATCTGTAAAATAATTTGTGCTTACATTATTCCGCCTTGATCTTGTTTGAACACACAATGTTGTTCCACAATTCAAAGTGATGAAAGCATTTCTTTACAATGCCTAAAATCTTTAAAGTGATTTTTTAAATGTCTTTTTACTCTGTAATTTCCAGGGAAATAAATAAATTTTCTAAACATATGTCATGTGCCTCAAAACAGCATAGGAAAAGGTAATGGTTGTCCCCTGGCATTAAGTCCAGTTGTGTCCGACTCTGGGGGTTAGTGCTTATCTTCATTTCTACGCCGACAAGCTGGTGTTCTCCGTAGACACCTCCAAGTTTATGTGGCCAGCATGACTGCATGGAGCGCCGTTATCTTCCCGCCGGAGCGGTACCTATTGATCTACTCACATTTGCATGTTTTTAAACTGCTAAGTTGGCAGAAGCTGGGGCTGACAGCGGAAGCTCACGCTGCTCCCTGGATTAAAACCTGTAACTATACAGTCAACAAGCTCAGCAGCTCAGCAGTTAGACCCACTGCACCACCAGGGGCTCCCCAAAATAGCATAAGAATGGAATATGTGGTGATGTTCCTGGAAGGCAGAACAGGACATGCTGATAGGAGCTTACACTGGCATCCTCATCCAGCAAATGTAATATTGGCGTTTTTGTTGATGATGATACACAGCTACTTCACCAGCCCCAGGAAACCCCAGGAAAGGCAAAAAAAAGGAGGAGGAGGAGGAGGAGGAGGAGGAGGGGGGGGGATGGAGTACGGAGGAGGAGGAGGAGGAAGAAGAAGAAGATGATGAAGAGAGAGAGAGAGAGAGAGAGAATGAGATTGGCTATGGAGGAATGGGCTTAGTAGGAATGAAGTAGGAAGATAGAAGGCCACTGTCTAGTGTTCTCTCAATCCTTTTTCCCCTTTCAAGTACTGCAACATTATTTTTAGCTCAGCATATTCAATGTATGAAGGAACACCTCAGTTTCAGAAATTCTTTGGACATTACATTATGTTGACATTGAAATGGTGGGGACTGCAGTTTATAAACATAATGATGACAGTAATACTATTATTGGTGCTTCTGGGGACCCAGCCAAAGTCTGGCGAGGAAGATGTGGACTGGTGGAAAGAGCTTTTATCTCCATTTATGGAAATTTGCAGTTTATTTGAAGGAAGGGTTGGGGGGGGGGGGGGGGAGGAACGGGCCAGAGATGGGAAGAGCACAGAAAGAAGGAAATAGCTGGAAAAAAAGAGTTCATTTCTCATCCAGTGTAGACTCAGATAGCCCAGTTCAAAGCAGATATTGTGGGATTTTCTGCCTTGATATTCTGGGATATAAGGCTGTGTGGAAGGGCCCTTAGAGAATAAACAGAATTTCCATTTTGTTAATTTTGTTGGAAACACCAGCACCCCAAATAAAAGTAATCAGAAAATTTTAAAACTTGGGAGTTGACTTATCATAAGGTAATGATTCTGCAGGATGAAAAATGAGAGAAAGAAGGAAAAGTAATGAACAAACCAAATAAAGAAAGCACAATATGTATAACCAAGCCACATATTTCACTAATACGTATGTATTTCACCTGTAAGCCAATTACAGAGCTTGCTCATGCATATGAATTGTCTTGTTCAAAAGCCCATATAAAGTTATAGTCTTCATGTAATCAGGACCCAAGGTTTGCAATAAGTGCCTTGGGCCTTTGCAGTACAGCGAACAATAAACATTTCCTGCTGAAGCATACTAAAAAAGCATACCAGGTACATCTACACTGTAGATTTAATGCATGTTGACACCACTTTGAATCCCATGCCTCAGTTCTATAGAATTCTGGGGTTTGTAGTTCAGTGAGGCGCAAGCACTCATTAGCAGAAAAAGGCTAAAGACCTTGTAAAATAGCACTGAGCCATGTTAGTTAAAATTGTCTCAAACTGCATTAATTCTACAAGGTAGATGCACCTGTGGTATGACAATGTCACAGTACTCACATCCCACCCACCCATGACCGCTACTACTTTCATTTTCATTTCTGAGGAATGGGCTCTGTGTGTATGCCTTCGGGCTTTGCTTCCTCTTTGCAACCTCTGTCTCATGCCATCCTCCCACCAAGGTGACTTGAACCACAGTGACAGGGGATATGAGTGGGGTTGGGTGAATCAAACCTTCTTAAACTGTGGTTCGCAACCCTAATTGGGGTCTTGATATGTGGAGGGAAGACTATTGGCTTCCTGGAAGATGCTGAACATTTGACCTCACCGTTTCCTTGCTTTATTTACTTGCTTTTGGCCCCTCTTTTCCACTTGTGTTTCCTCGCCAGCCCTTCCTCCAATGTGGTGGGGTGCTCCCAGTTCCTTCCCCCATGCTCCATTCCCCAATAGCTTGATTTCCCCCATGTGCATTCTTTCACCCAACTTCATCACACCTATAACCTTATCACTCTTGGGTTTTTTGGCCCGTCTCCTCTTTGGAGACGGGGCCTACCGAGAGTCATTAGACGAAGCTGGCTTGGCCTTGCCCCCATTCAAACCCAAAGTGGCAAGGAAGTGTCACAAGATGCTTCCTTGCCACAACTGAGAGGTAAGTGGGTTTGGGGTAGATTTGGCGGAGCTACTCGCATTTTTGGTGCCTTTCCCCCATATGATAGGGGAAAGGCCAATGCAGCAACATGTGTTACCACCTTTTCCCCTGTCTGATGGAGGAAGGAGGGAGGGTGCGTGCATAGGGCACCACGAAGTGCCCTGTGTGCAAAACGGTACAAAATGAAGGTTAGTGTGAAGAGGTCCCTAGAGGTTTTTGTTATGAGCCTTCCCTTCTTCCTTGGGCTTTAACTTGGCAAGGTTTCTGAACACTGCCACCTAGTGTCTGCTTTATACCTTTATATGAATCTGCTAGCAACAGTATTTTAGCAACAGCATTTTAGCCAGTGGACTCTCAAGCAGAGAAACTACAGAAAAAGCTTACCTTGTTTAGCAAGCCTTGCAAGCATTGGTTTTGTTTCCTGGCATCATTTTGGTTTCAGAAATACTCCCCTTCACATTTTGATTCTAAAAAACTAAGTTAAGTTGATAAACGATTCTCAATTAAAAAATTTTAAAAATCAATCATCTGCCAAGAATTTGCCTAGGTGTTATGAGATTTCAGCTAATGCAAAACCATGGGTTCGGAAGCCCAGCATGCCTAGGGAGGGTGAGTTAAAGAATAGGCTGGTCAATAAGGTGGATAGAACAAATAGTAGGATAGGAATAGAGCCATTATAAAAGGATCTTTTCATCTTAACTTAAAAGTCTAGTAATCAAATAAAGGAACTTGAGTTCAGGTCATGGTTAGAGACCATCTAGAAGAGAAGCACAGCTGTGAGTATGGCAAAACAAGTAAAACAGGAATGGAAAGGCCAAATAAACAAAGACAATCTGGATAACATAGTGGAATTGCTCGGTCTTGTTGAAATGTGTTTCATCAACTGACGTGGAATGAAAGGCTGTATTTTTGTGCAAACAAACTAGTTCAAACACCGCTTCTTTCTGGTGTCCACTCTTGTTTATGTGGTTGCTGTTGTTGCTGGAAAAGCTCTTGGAAAAGATTGGTTTGAAAGCGGGGTTTTTTTTTTTAATTTGAAGAGAAAATGTTGAAACAGGGAGGAAGGGAATCTTTTAACTTGTATGTTTCAGGAAGAGAAAATAGCATAGCTGCTTCACACAGAAAAGCTTTCCAAAAATCAAGGAATTGAACAGTTTTAAAATCATAAAAGAATAATGTGGAAACATCCCAACAAACTTGGACATAAAGAAAACAGCAAACTAAGAAAATGTTTCAAGAGAGTGTCCAATTTATTTGGACCGACTCCCAAGGAAAACATGAGTAGCAGGAAAGTTTTGTTCTTTTTCAAGAACAGAACCTGCTATTTCAAAAATTGAGGGGAACTTCAGGAATGTGTTTTCCCAACATAAGTAAACAGCACCGTTTCCTTGCAAGAACAAAAGGTTATTTATAGAGATATTTTTAACAAGGCTGATAGGAATAAAAAAGAGTTTTTCCCAGAGACTAAGGACAGTTCCAGACAGCACCAAACTGCATGCTTTAGTCGGGGGGGGGGGGGGGGGGGACTCAAAACCTGAGAGTAGGTCTGCACACAGACCTGTTGGTCCCAGGCTTTCTTCCCTCACTGTCCTCACTAACCTGGCCTCCCTTCTGTGTCTCTGGAGATCCCATGTTTAAACCATCACACGCATGTGTGCACTCCTCTCCTCCTCTGTCCTAGTCCTCTATGCTTCTGCAAATGCCTTCTCTCTCTCTCTCTCTCTCTCTCTCTCTCTCTCTTTCTCCCTCTTCCAGCTCTCTTCTTCAACACAAACAAACCCTCGGAGCCCCCTCCACTTTCCATCCTGCCTCTTCATTAATCCACTCCCATCTTGGAGCAAGTGGCACATATTACAAACATTGCTCTTGCAATCTCAACGCCATACTTCATTGTTTAATATTAAACAGTATAAAAATAAAGAGTTGCAGACAGTTCTAATGGCTCTCTGTTTGTGCTTCCTTTAAATCAGCTATTCATGGGTTTGGCAGCCCAAACAGCTGATCAGCTGTTCTGGCTTTTTAAAAGAGGACATCAGCTGGAGCAGTCGCCACATGAGAGAGGGAAGGAAACACGTGTTTTTTGTAATGCAGGGTCACACACACACATATGAAGATGACGGGATAAAGGAGGACCTTTTTATTCCAAAGTTTTCCTCCTTTATAGTGATTCCTTCCGTGTTTTCAGGGAACATCATTTAGTTACCCTCCAGTTTGCTGTGGGAGCTCCTGGGATAAAGGTACTGTCTGGACAGGCCCTCAATGAGCTTTTCAACTGGGCATGTAAAAGGGGGGGGGGGTTCACCAATAGAAGACTTTGCCATGGAAAAAACTGGAGGAAAGCCAAGTGACATTTGGAGAGACAATTAACCAAGCTAAAATAAAGAAAGCTGTTATTGAACTATTAATCTCCAAAGAGAAGAATGCATCTAGAATACATGAATACAGTGATCATAACCCTCCCACTAAACTTTGTTATTCCAGATCACAGAATAACCCTATGGAAATACTTGCATTAGGCCTATATTTTATCCTTGGCTTAAGTAAATTTCTAACTGTAACTTCATCCTCTGACCATTCAGTAGCCTTAACCCAAAATTTAAACCCTCCCTCCCACTCCTAAC